GAGCTGATTAGGACTGTTACACCTTTTGTACCCTTCTCGTGCTATGGGCTTTGATATGAAAAGGTGTAGAAAATTAATTAAAATATCACAACCATTTGGACTTGCAGTTCAATATTGGGTTCATAAATGTAAAAAATAGTGAGAATTCTTTTTTTTTTAATATTTTTCAATTTGAAAAATCAAGATTTGAATTTTCGAAATAGTTTTCACATATCAAAACTAAATTCATTTTTATAATCTTATTAAAATTTATCTTTTCACGCATCAAATTAACTTTCATATTAAATAAAAATGTTAAAATCATATTATTTTTTTTATCGACTTTTCTCCTTTTTTTTACACAATATCTCTAATTTACAACCATCGTACTCCTAACATTTGGTTAGTGTTATGATTAGAGATTGGCACCTTAGAAATATATTAGTAAGTGCATTTTCTTCAGTAATTTGTCAAAAAATTGTGAATTCGAGGACTAACTTAAATTTTTCTTTTATTGAATTAGTTATCAACTTGTTAGGGAATATCTGTTTTAAATTAGATTTTTTTTTTTTTGGAAAAATAAAAAATCAACTTGCAGTGATGATTATATAAGCATATAAATTATAATATATGGTAAACAAATACATAACAAGGAATCAAATATGATCTAATGGGATTCTGAATAAAAATAAATCAAATGGAATTGTCAAAAAAATCAGAAACATTTAAAAATAAATAAATAAAGAAAGCACGAATGATTAATGATGCTCTTATTGTTTTATATTAGTAGTTTTTATTTCTTAATTATGCTCCCCATTTATGCATGAGTATTCATTTACGATGGAATAGATAAATTCCATCTTTTTGTGCTTTTCAATTGCAATTTTTTACACCACAACTATCTTCAAACTCTTGACCACACTTAAAGGCATCAAAAATCACATGGTAGTATCCATATCATAGATTAAAAAAAAAAAAAAGAGTGTCGATGACTGTTAATTTCTGAAGGTAAATTCATATGTATGATTAATGTTGAGATTGTGATTGTCAAGATCATCGTAAGCCAATGTTTGGACGTCCATGGTTTTGTCATGGAGAGCATCTTCAATGCACAGATGATTTATTTATTTATTTTTTAATGGAAGAAGTCCACAACATCCGATGCCAAAAGCCAAGGAAAGTAACAGGGTATAGAATTGAACAAGAAATATCTTATTTTGCATTATTTTTTCTTTTCGAAAGAGCATGTATAGGCAAAGACTAATTCAAACACACAGGGTTTTCAGAGGGTTGTCTCGAATGGTAGGAAGAAGACTCGTTTAGTTTGAAGGTTCCAAATTCAAGTTTACTGCTAGCTTTTTGAAAAAATAACATATTTATATCTAATTAGTCCTATTCAAGGAAATACACTAAGCTTTGGTTTCGACATATATTCAATGGGGATCCCTTTAAATATGTGTGAGTATGAAGGGCAAAATGTTTCTATTAGGCGCATTGTGAGCCTCTCTATACACTCATTTTATGTACAAAAAAGTTAGTTCTAATGCATAAGAATTCATCGCTAGATAAAATTAATTTGTGTATAACAAGTGTGTTCAAACATTAATCTACTAACATGTTGGGATAGCTTAACAAAAATCAATTTTTTTAAGACTAGCACGTTCATAGACACATATATAGTAAATCCATACCTGTAATAATATTAATGCACAAGAGATTTTATTTTTTGATTCGACGAAAAAAGATATTCTCAAATCAATATACACATCAACTAAGACTAAATTTTTTCTCCAATAATCTTAAAAATGATATAGAATTGAACACAAAAGATTTTATTTTGCATCATTTTTTTCTTCTCGAAAGAGATTTTGAGGATGATACTTAGTGTATGTGTATCATTTTTCATTTAATATATATACGAAAAGAAACAGATAGACTCTTTAAAGAGTTGTCTTAAGTGATAAAGAGAAGACTCATTCAGTTTGAAAGTTTCGAGCTCGAGTTTCACTATTGTCTTCTATATATATATATATATATATATATATATCCATGCCTAATTAGCCTCACTCAAAAAGTACCCTAAACTTTGGTCTTGACATAGGTTCGGTGGAGATATCTTCAAATATATGCATGAATGTAAAAGATGGAATATTCCTTCCTAGGTGCATGGTTAGTCTATCTATACACTCATTTTATGTACAACAACAAAAAAATTCAAACACAAAAATTTATGGCTATATAAAGTTAACTTGTGTTGAGATAAATTAATAAAAATAAATTTTTGAGGGTTAGCATGTGCACACACACATATATTTAGTTAAAAATCCATGTAGTAGTTCGAAAATAAATGCATGCCTATAACAAATGTCAATAAAGAGATTTTGTATTCTAGTTCAACAATAAGAGATATTTTCAAACCAACATACGCATCAACCAAAACTTCATTATCTCTCTAGCAATCTTAAGAGGGTATAGAATTGAATAAGAAAGATTTTGTTTTGGATCTTTTTTTCTTCTCAAAAGAGATTTTTTAGGTAATACTTAGTGTTTGTGTATTGTTTTTCATTTTGTATACGTTAGAAAAGACTAATTCAAACAAATAACGTCTTTAAACGGTTGTCTCAAGTGATAAGGAAAATACTAATTCAGTTTGAAAGTTTTAGGCTCGAGTGGAACTACTAGTTTCTTGAAAAATGACATATCTATGTTTGATGAGTATTACTTAAAAAAAGTATACTAAACTTTGACCTCGATATAAATTCAACGGAGTCTCTTCAAATATATATGTGTGTATGTGTGAAAGGCAAAATATTTCTTGCTAGTTGCGTGGTCAACCTATCTATATACTCATTTTATTTATTAAAAAAAAAAATCATGCACATAAGAATTCATGGGTAGATAAAATTAACTTGTGTATGGTAAGTGTGTTAACCTACGAGGATGACTTAATAAAAATCAAATTTTCTAAAGTTAACATGCACGTGTGGACACACACATATACACATAGCAAAAAAATTCATATAGTACTTTGAAAACAAACTCATGCCCATAGCAATGTATTTTGGTTCGATGATAAGAGGTATTCTCAAATTAATATATGCATTAATCAAAACTAAATTCTCTCTCTAATGATCTTGAAGGTGTACTTGTCTTTGATTTTTATTAATGATGCTCTTATAGTTTTATCTATCATTTTAAAGCAAAAGATAAAACAAGATTGTCTCTGCATCAATATTTTATCACTCGATCAAGTTTGTTTTTATAATTTATGCTTCCCTTTGTGCATGAGGTTCCATTCACTATTGAATAGATAAATTCCATCTTCTGGTGCTTTCCAATTACAATTTTTTGCACATCAACTATCTTTAAACTCTTTATCACACTTAAACACATCAAAAAATCACAAAGTAGTTCCCATACCTAAGATCACAAATCAGCTGACTTATAATGCACATCTATGATTTTTTTCGTGGAGCATCATGATGTTTTCTGAATGGAAGAGGTCCACTTCCTATGCCAAAAGTAAGAGGTTACAGAGTAAAACAAAGCAATGTTTTGCTCTATTTTCTTCTTCTTTTCAAAAGAGATTTTTGAGATAATAGCTAGAAGTGTTTGTGCAGCGTTTTTTGTTTTGTATTTGGAGAAAGATATTAATTCTAAACACATATGCCGGATGGATGGATACAGATAACTTGTATACGGTAAGTATGTTCAAACATTTGATAAAGATACTATACCATGTTAATTAAGGGTAAGAGCCTTTGTCTGGCCTTATATAATTGGATTGGATCAGTTTCTAATTTCCGTTATATTTTAAAATAAATTAATTATATCCCTATATTTTAAATTAGTTTTTAATCTATCTAGTGAATTTGCTAACTATTTTTTTTTTCAAAAATACTCTTAATTGAAGCTGTCCAAATCATTTTTTTTCCTTTTTCTAAAAATTTCGGTTTCTTTTTTTTTTTCCCTAAAAAGGAAAATTTTTGAAAAGCTGACACTACTACTCCAATAATAATCATACAAAATCCACATTTAGGATAAGTCTATGCAAATGTATATCCATATGCTTGTTTTTTTCCTTTTTTTTTTTTTTCTACTTATCCTTTCGATAAAACACTTATAAAACTAGTATTTACTAATTACTCCACATAAAGAGATAGACGCAAAGAGAAGAGAAATAAGAGAGAGAAAATAAATAAATAAATTGAGTGAAGGTGGAAATTTTTTTTATCACTTTTGATAAGTACTGAATGTAATTCTCTTTTTTTTTTATGTGTCTATCTCTCTCCTCAAAAGTGGGTTCATAGAGTAACTACTATACATGTATATTAATTACTCCTTCGGTATTATAAAATTTCTCAAAAAAAATCTATCTGCTCTTGGAATACAGGTTGAGAAAAATAATTGAAATTTTAAGTGTTATTATGATTTTTTTTTTTACCATTTACTAGAGAATTATTAAATCATATGAACCGGCTAATAAGATGTAGATCAACCGGCATCAACGTCGCCTTTTTTTGTAAGAGATTTCAAGTAAATCTCTCCCTTATAATAGAAAAGAAACAAATGATTCAAAGTTTGAAATATAAGCATATAAATCATACAAATTAAATTCTTGTTTGAGATTATACAATGCATAGAAAAACACAAATCATACAAAATTTTCAGTCTGAAAGTATATAAACAATAAGCTTGAAGAGAATAAATTGAATCTCTATAGAAATAAATATTTTAATTAACTTCATGATATGTACCTTAAGATTAACAAGTGTAAACAATTCATACAAATTTTCAATTTGTTATTTACAATAAGCTGGAAAGATTAGTGTAATGTAGCCTAAGATTTTTCCCATAACAGAAAAGAAAATTATAGGAAAAGAAAAAACTTTGATTCAATGTATTGATGAATAAATAACAATTCACTTAAGCCAGTGAAATGGGATTTGCTTTCATCGCTGTGCACATAAAGAAAAAGAAAAAAACAATACAGCATTGAAGAAACTGTTGTTTCTTCGCATCTATATATCAGGCAAACCTTCAAAAAAATTAAAAACAAGACTACGATCTAGCATCAAGCTATCCAAGTTATCAGGAATTGGACCTGGCACATCACACAACCCAACTGATGGGCATGAAGGGCTGCACTCCGATACCAACTCCTTTTGGACAGCTAAATCAGCTGCTTTGACAGAAGGAGAAGAAGTAAATAAACGAGAGGAATCGCCATCTTTCTTCTCTTCATCTGTCTCAACCTTGTTGCTTTCCCTTCCGTTTTCTTGAATAGCCTGATCATCCTTTTCTGTGAGAGAAGGACTCTTGCTGCCCAATTCTTGTTTTTCATGATTGATCATTGAGGGAGAAGCATGACCATTATTCTTGGCCATTTCCTGTTTTTCCTGATTGATCATTGAGGGAGAAGCATGACCATTATTCTTAGCCAATTCTTGTTTTTCCTGAATATTGATCATTAAGGGAGAGGCATGACCATTATTCTTGGCCAATTCTTGTTTTTCCTGATTGATCATTGAGGAAGAAGCATGACCATCATTCTTGGCCAATTCTTGTTTTTCCTCAATATTGATCGTTGAGGGAGAAGCATGACCATCATTCTTGCCCAATTCTTGTTTTTCCTCAATATTGATCCTTGAGGGAGAAGCATGACCATTATTCTTGGCCATTTCTTGTTTTTCCTGAATATTGGTCATTGAGGGAGAAGCATGACCATTATTCTTGGCCAATTCTTGTTTTTCCTGAATAGTGATCATTGAGGGAGAAGCATGACCATTATTCTGGGCCGCTATTCTAACAACCTGCAAGAAATGACCACGAACTCTTTTCTTGGTTAGTGTCTCTTCTTGTTCTCCTTCATCACTGGAAGACTCTGTGGCATCAGGGTCTGAACCATGAATGTAAACCACTGTTGTTCTTAGCTTCTCATTTTCTTGAGGATTAAAATGTATCTCTTCCTTGTTGTTTTCTTTTCTTGGTCGAGGCCTACGATCATAGTTACTACTGGAGCTTTTCTGGTTAAAGGGTTTTCTCTTGGTGGGTTTTTGTTTCTGTGGCACTGTTGCAGGCAAAGCCAAAATCACCATTGCTCCAGGCTCTAAATTTCATGCAAACCCAAAATCACCCTGCAAGCTCTAAATTTCATGTTTACACAGGCATGAGAGAGAGGGAGGGAGAGAGGAGACTTGTTGGTGCTGTGTTACTATAGGAATCCAGTTAAATAAGGAATTCCAGTTACGATGATGTCCCTAAATAGGGAAAGTACAATAATTGATAGAGGATTTTTTTTTAAAAAAAAAAAAGACAAACAGTATTAATTAAGGATTCAAAGGTTGGAAAATAGATAGTAGAAACTAGGAAATATTATTGGTTTTTTCCTTTTTAGTATTTACTAAGTAATATTGGGTGAGTAGAAAGTTCAACCTCGGCTCCTTTACACCCAATATGTTGAAGAGAATTTAATGAACCAATGAAAGGAGAAACAAAAACAGACAATTTTTTTTTTAATTAAGGAAAAAAATCTACAAGGATCATAAGACAGGTCATTACTATCAAGTGTCAATTGCAAAACATGGTAGGAAAATTAAGGGGGAGTACAAGATGAAAGGCTTAAGATTCCACGGTGGAATGTTTTTTTAGAGGCTTAATGATACTAGAGACTACTACTAGTAGTTTTAATTTAGGTAATTCGGTGTCCATTATATGGTTTCGATGGTTTTAATTTAAGCAATTCGGTATCCGTTATTAGTAGTTTTAATTTAACAAATTCGGTATCCGTTATTTGGTTTCGATAGTTTTAATTTAGGTAATTTGGTATACGTTATCGGTATTTAGTTTAGCTAATTCGAGTATCCGTTGTTTGGTCTTGATGGTTTTGATTTAGGCAATTCGGTATATCTTACTAGTAGTTTTAATCAGGTATTATTAGTTTTTTTACTCACGTTATACTCGCGGATCGGACATAACACATAAAATTATTTTTTAAAAATTAGTTTAGTTTGATATTCCGTGTTATATTGTCCATATACCAAAATATATCAAATCAAAACTGAATAAAAATTTATCCAATTTTATAAATTTTTAATCAAAATTTTGTATTTGGTCGATTATTCTTTATATTTTTCATAAATTTTTATTAAAAAAATTATTTATTTATCTCTATCCACAAACTCAAAATTTTATAATAGTATAAAAATGTCAAAATCAATAGATTCTTAACTAAAAACTTAATTTGTAAATTATTTTTTAAATATTTTTTTACTTTAAAATTTTTAATTAAAAAAACTCAAAGAAAAAAAGGATCGAAGTAATCAAAATAAAACAAAAAAGAGGGACGAAAAAGAAACAAAAAAATATTTATAGACTAAAAAAACAATGTTTAAAAAAAGGGACCAAAATGTAATATAACAAAAAAATTTATAATAAATATCTTTAAAATATTTGAAAACGACAAAAAAATCATTGCATAATAAAAAGAATAGTGCACCTGAGTTTTGATGAATAGTGCAAATAAGTATGATGAACAGTGTTTCAAATAAAAGCAATAAATAGTAACAATCGTTTTACTTTAATTTTTTTGTTAATGGTATCCGTTATTTGATTTCAGTGGTTTTGATTTAGGTAATTCGATATATGTTATTTGATAGGTTATAATTTAAATAACATGAACTCCTCCTTCCATAATAAATAAATAAATAATCAAAAGAATTAAAAAGGATTTTCCAACAATAAATAAAGAAAAAAATTACCAAAAATTTGGGTTTGGTCCTGGTAGTTTTGATTTAGGCAATTTAGTGTATGTTATTTGATCCGTTATAACTTAAAGAACATGAATTCTTCCTTTCGTAATAGAAAAAAAAATCAAAAATAATTTTCCAATAGTAAAAAAATTAACAAAAAAATTTGCGAACAATTTCTTTTTCAGATTTTTTTCCGAATTATTAATCAATTTTTTTTAACAAGAAATAATAAAAATATGACACTATCTTTCATTATTTTTTAAAAACCAAAATTAACGAAAATTCGCTTTACCATCCAATTGTTTAAATTAAAACCACGAGTATTTTTGTTAAAAACAAGCACTATTATAAAAACCTCTAATTTCATTGAAACCTCGATTAGACAGTGGGAGACAGGGCATTAACTCATGCAGCAAAGAACAGCAAGTCAGGAAGGAATGGTGTTCTGTTATAGAATATTGATTTTGCATGCTGTAATAATACTTTGGATTTTGACTTATGGTTGCTCAACCGTTTGATCCATCAGAAATTTTTATTATGCAATTTAATTTTGATAATGCTCATGTTAACAGGTTTCTACATTCTTTAAACAAAATTATAGATTGGCAATCACTCCACAACTCATAGACAAAACGGGATTTGTGGCCCAAAAAATAAACCCAAGTAACTTGAAAATCCAAGTTGTACTCATTTCTTCCACAATCCCTTTGACTTTTCCTCGTCTGTAGTTTTCTTAATTTAGCTGACCTTTTATCATCCCAGATTTAGGGTGGTTTGTCATGGTAGAAGAGAGCAAACATGGCCGCTGTCTGGCTAGCCAGAGCTCATAGGCTCTCTCTTTGCCCAGCTAATTGGGTCTGTAATCTTCCCAGGGTTCTTCAAAATGTTATTGCATCTGATATCACAGTTCAATGATACTGGCTATTTTTTAAGATCAAAAAAATAAATAAAAAATGTCATGTCCTCATCTATACTCCTCAGGAAAGCGGAATCCAGGCATGACTAATTTGTCAGCAAACATCTTGCCAGTCTTGGGCATGACATGCCAGTGCAACGTCATGTTGAATTCTTTACCGCGAAGATTGCTTCCCTGCACAAGGAACGATAATGTTTAGTTCTAAGCATAGCAAGAGCAGCACCTGAGGTGGCTTGTGGTTGTGAATGCACAGGATGAGATGTAAAGAAATCACTTCATGAGGATGGTACCTGATCAACAAAACGGTACTTGTTCGTGGTTTGAATCCAAAACTTTGCGTGCTCTTTGGCAGGTATAATAGCATCCCAAAGCGACACCTATCACAAAACATTCAGAAAGAGTTGAGGTTTTATGCAGTACACCCTGACATTTGAAGTTGTGAATGAAAATGACTCAAGAGGCTTGTCTAGAGCCTGAATGTGTATCAGGGGAAATGAAAAGGCAAATGGATTCAGCTCCATGCTTGCCTCATAAGTTTGTAAAAAGCTAAAGTTCAACATGTGAAAGATGAGAACCAAAATGGAAAAAAACATACAAGCACTTGTATTACCTGGTTCAAAGAATTCTGGGGGTTTCATACTCTGCTGCTACAAATACGAAAGCCTGCAATAAATGGCAAGTTCATGATTCATGTTTGAATTGGCTCTTAAGGTGGTCATTATATACTTGAATAAGCTATGAAGAATAACCGATGATAAAATGTAAAAGAAACCACTAATGCATTTAGATGCCCCCTTAATTCAAAATTCCTCATACACATGACAAAAGCAGCAAAAGATTTATTTTTCGACTATAAACAAGTCTGTTCCATATTCATGTCATTCGTCCCACCAATGTCCTGACAATGAAACATAAAGGAGTTTTACATAGGACAGGATTTCCAAATTTTCAAAGGGCATCCAAAACCTGACTTGTCGGAATGTGGAAACTATAATGTCGAGTGAATGGTTAAGAAAATGAAATGTACTCAGAATACACTCGTGGAACAGCCAAATGGGTGCCTGGCATGAGAGTCAAAGATTTAAACTCTGAAATGTAAAGACTGTAGCACTCATCCCCAAAGGTGAAACACATGTTCCAAATTAAATACCTGCTTGGTATTCCATGTAAACAGTGACTGTAAATCAGCTGTTATATTCATGGTGAGGCTGACCTGCATTAAATGAAAGGCAGCTCAATTAGCATTGAATCATTGCTAGCTCATCAAGTGGTCCAGAATAAAGTGCCTGCATCTACACTAATGCATCGAAAATGAAAGATGGTTTGACAAATAATACATCGTCTAAAATACTTAAGATGAACTGGGAAAAATAAAATATCAATGCAATCAATCACACAAGTTTTCTGGAAGAAGAAATTCCACCATCCTGCAAACTTCCATGCATCACCCTATAATAAATTCTCTCAATCAACATCCCTTCTCATCTTCAAAACTTCTATGAGTAGGCACAGAAAAGCCAAAAAGCTGATACCATATTGACTCAATGGTCAATAGGTACAAGATCATCCCTTCTTGTAATGTTTTTAGCACCTTTTCAACCAATAAGAAGAATTAACTAAAATATAAAGCATGAATTTGGTTCAAATTTCTTGAAACAGAAAACCAGACCATATTGTAATGGGCCAAATTCACTGTATGAGCTGAACAGTTAAAGATGCAAAGATGCAACACCGATTACAGAAGCCTTATTCTAATATGATTTTACTCCTAAACTTTCACATATCAAGTTGTAAACTACTTCAGTTTTGTATTCAATGATGTTAATGCTATCAGGATTTTCCATAAATTTTAGCGTATTATGATCAATTTCAAGCAGAGTAGATTCTACAGACATGGAATATTTGCAAGATAACAACTTTTGACCAATGATAACTAAATTGCTAATTTCCTAAATTTACCCCTGATATTGAATACAAACCCCCTACCCCCCCCCCCCCACAAAAAAAAAAAAACTCGCAAACATCCCCACACCCACACAGAAGAGGAACATGCAGGTTGAAAACAGGATGCCCATGAAGCAAAAACAGCACGATAACCCAAAAAATGGTCGTGAGATGTTATGGGATTCCCATGAAGATAACATCAAAACCCTTTGGGACCAAGTTCCTTAGCAACAAAGGTTAATGGGCAGATCATTTAATAAGCTGAAAACATTTTTCTTGTAGATTTAGCATTCAAAATATCCGTGCATGTTAACAGTTAGAGGCAAAATCAGGTCTGAACCAGTATGGATGGCAGAAATGGAACTGTTCTACTCAATTTTCGAAATCTCTGCCCAAGGAAATGAGCCATTCACATTAGCGTTTTCAGAAAGTAAAAACCAAGACAATACTCTTAGCCACCGGGAAACATATGACCATGGGGAATCAGTCAGACGAGCAATAACCTAAGCATGCTAAAAAAAAAAAAAAAAAACAGAAGATTAAACCAATTAAGAGGATGATAATTTCTTTCCTAAGACACAATTCGTAAATACTCTTAGAGCTACATATACATCGAAATACTGAAAAAATCGATTCAAAAAATCAACAAAACAAATTATGTAACCATAATCTAAACAATTAAGCCAATAAACCCAGATTTGATAAAACATAATACACCTATAAAAACCCACGTAGCATTTTCTAATTACCGACAAATGGAACCCAAAAATAACTTTTTCATTAAAAATCCCACTTAAACACTTAAAAGAATTATTAAAAAAAAAAACACTAATCTACCAAAAATTTAAATCAATCACATATCTCACCAAAAAACTAAAAAATTAAACAAACAAATAATCAATTACCTCATCATTTCCACGTGACTGCTTTTGAAACCAATTGAAATTCGTTACCTACGAAAGCCCAGAATATCAAAATTGCATTAAGATCCAAACAACCTTAAATCGACACAAAAGTTCATAAGCATAGGAAAGAAACCTGGATTTGGGCAGAAGGAGAAGGAAAGTTGAAATTGTCAGAGAAAGAAGCGATGGCGCAAATTAATGCCAGTATAGTCACCGAGAACGTTAGCACCGCGTTGGCTCTGTATCCGAACGTATGCATTGTTTGTTGTCGTTTTTAGAAATATCCTCGCGTCGTTTAGATTCAGACAAAACTAGGAGGTGCTATGTTTCCTTCTTCCTCTACTGTTAGAATTGAAGTGAGCGAGTGATTTTTGAGTTGAGGGTTTTTTTTTTGTCTGAAATTAAGGAAGCGTTTCTGTTTTTGGAAGAAAGAAGAAGAAGAAACGGACAGAGAGAGAGAGAGTGAGTGAGTTGGGTGTTTTCTTGCTTTTGATTGGCTACTACACGTTTAGTTTAGTTTAGTCAGCCATGTTTGCTTACATGGCACATTTAGTCAAAATTGACATGCCTTTTTAAAGTACTTTGTCAAACATTTTTTTTTTGGCTTGGGACATAATTGTCTATTTCAAATCTTGAATTATACTGTTAAAACATGAATTATAATAGTTGTGGTCGTTAACTTTTTTAATCTGTGATACCCGAATTTTTTTAAGTATTTGAGCCTAAAAAAAGCTTAAAATAGTCTCTTTTTTATAACAGGGTCAATTTAATTTATTGTAATAGTATAACTTTCTTTCTTATTCTGTTAATTATTAACGTTAATCTCTTAAAATCAAATAATTAAGTAGATTATAAGTTTTATGTATGAAAATTTTTTGATAATGTATCTAGATAGATCTTATATTCTCATTTTTATATATAATAGATATGCATTCTTCTTATATCTATGCTTTTTGAAAAAAAAAATGATTAACTTATACATAGAATTTTTGTTAAAAAAAATCACAATAAGATTTTCATGATTATAATGATATGTCAACTTAAAATTTATAGTTGATAATTAAGAATGCTATGTTGAGTTTGTGACGTAAATTGATTTACAAATGTCAACAATATTTTAAGTTATTTTCTACATAAATCACTAGGAAAATAACAAACAATATTTGATCTCATATATCATTAAATTCAAACTTATTATTGCTGCTCATAGCATGATGTACATAGAATGTTCGAAACATAGATTCATTTGTGACTATTATATTTCGATTGTAGTCTACTTGTGTTTATGACCTTCTTGAACTTGAACAAATTCTCAAGACTGATGATTTATTTATTTTTTAAATATTATACATACACCAGGCCATCAATAACAAAGACAGCCTTTCATTACACCCACATAACACAAACTACACCAAACACAAGTGCAAATTACATATTAAACGAGAAGGACACACCTAACTAGCTCCTTGATCTCTCACTCTATGGCGTAGTGGTGAAGTTGAAGTTGGCACAGTTGGTTCTATGAAACAGCAAGGAAGAGCTAAAGCCCAACCTTGACCTGGCCAGATCAAACTGCAGGAAAGTGTCCTCAAACTGGTGAGCCCCTATAACAATAGAAGCTCTAGGGTGCAATCCTCCATCAACAAACCCTAAGCACACAACACCAGGACGTGCCTCCACCATTGAGTTGGCACCAAAAATTGTCCACACGACACTTTGGTCACCAAACACAAGGTTAATCTTAGGAACTGCAGGACCAATCGGTGTGCTTGAAACATTTTTCGAGTCATAGCATAGCCCAAATGGTGCCACAGGTTTTGTTAGGGGTGTTGCTGAGAATTGGCTAGCAAAAACTTGGGTGAAACTTCGATAAATTAAGTGCTCAAGAACCGTGTATGGACTTGTAGTGCTTATCATCGTGCCACCAAGACCTCGTTTGTTTATCGTTAACAAAGATGTGTTTAGTGGGACAATTTTCTGATTTATCTTGATTGACCTCACATCTATGTAATACTCTCCTTGCCTGCTAATGATTAATGGTACATAGCCCACCGGTTGAGGAACACTAATGCCAGGGAGCATATAGAAAGGACCCTCACCAAAGAAAATGACCCCATTCTTTCTTGTAGAGGAAGTAAGGCATAAGGCAAAATTTGGGGTAAACCCTAAGTTTGAGGCAAGTTGAGTTGGTAAAGCAATTGGAGCATGTCCTAGTCCAGCTACACCATCAACATTTTTTGGTAACCCGTTTTGCATTAGGCTCGAAGGTGCACAAACAAAGAGGAATCGAGGCATTCTGACCATTGGACCACCTTGGAACCCTTTAGTTCTTACGGATTGAATTGAGAGCACATCTTGAGCTAGCTCACCCATGGCAGCTTCTTGTGTAACGGGGTTCCTTGAAATGAGACCACATGTGTTGTTATGGCACCCGGGTCTAGGCTTAGAAGAGCATCTGAAGCAGTAGTCACTATTGGCTCTAGAGCATAGAGTAGAGTGGCACCGTGGGGCTTGGTATGTAGAGGACAAGTAGTTTTGCTCACAATTCACCCACATGAACCTCCCATTTAGATCAACAACAAGTTGAAGCTGAGTTTGTGGGATGTTCTTGTGAATGGTAGCCACATGAAGATTTGTTGCACCATCTTTGTGGACTGGTACCACAAGCTTGTTTGGCTTGAAACTAGTTGTTTGAGATTCCGATGCCAAGATAAGAAAAGGAAGGGAAAGGAAGATAACAAGAAAATGAGGGGAAAACAAAGCCATTAGTGAAATCAAGAAAGCTTTCAAGAGAGAATGGCTAGTGTAAGGCTATAGATCACGTTTGTTTATTTTATATATATAGCTAGCCGTTATGTGTGTGTGTGTGTGGCTGTGCCCAAATTTTGGCATTGTTGATGACTTGTCTTGATAGTAGATTTTGGAGCTTTTCCTCATTGGATTTGCATTGAATGACGTTTAAAGAGAACAAATTCACATGATAGTTATAGCATGGTGTTGCTACCAGATGAAAATATGAACAAGAGAACAAGGATGCGTTGGTTGGTGTGAAGATACACTTGGCAATGAAATTTTGGAAAGAGCTCAGTTGACATGCATTGTCTTGTAGCAGTAGTGCTTATGTTGGGCCTCAATATAGGTTTGGATTTTTTATAATGGTAATGTATTAATGTTATGTTGGGCCTAAACATAGCCTTCGACTTTTATATTCGAGGAAAATGGGCTTCCTACAGTGGTGATATATTTATGTTGTATGATGTAAATTGATAGCTCAAATAATATTATCATATGATGAACGCTTAACGTTATGGCAAAAAATAATCAACATGACATGTTATGTACTTTGATGTTATAACTTTGAAATATGAATGATGGGTTAGACATTGTGGTTTTTATTTTCATTTTTTAGATTATATATGTGTGTGTGTATGTGTGTGTATGCACCATGAGACGGACAATGATATGCACTAAGCAACTAACATTAACCAAATCAAAATTATTAAAACTTGAACCTAGTTTTCTAAAAAAATAACTAAATATATAACCGTCAACCTATATTTGTTTATATTAAGCAACTAACATTAAATAAATCAAAACTATTAAAACTCAAATCTATTTTACTAAAAAAATTATTAAATATATAACCGTTAACCTATATCTCGTTTATATTTATGTATATGACAATTAGAATTTATCAAAGCATGTTTGAATGATATTAGTCATTACCATTTACAAACTTGGTGTCAAATGTCTAGGGATGGCAATTGATCGAATACAAAACGGGATATCTTTTTTATCGGACTTAATAAATACCTATTAAAAATATCCAATGTGTATTGAAATAAGTAAGGATAAAAAAAATACTTACCTACTAATATGATTTCGAGGTATAGGTATCCACTTTTTATTCTATTAATATCAACTAATCTATTTTGATTTTTGGTTAATATACATGGATCTAATTGCATAAATTTTAAAAATTAAGAACCAAAATATTTTTTAAAAAAAACTTTGAGTACAAAAAATTATAAATAAATGACCAAATGCAAAAAAAAATAATAATAATAATAAATAAATTAATTGAGGACAAATTTTTTTAAAAAAAATTATAAGGATCGAAATGAATATTTTTTATAAATTATTTTTAACGGATATTAAATGAGTATTAAATTGGCATTTTAAATTAACGTGGGCTAGGTATGGTTGAATAAGATTTATATAATGGAGAAAATTTTTTATAAATAAGATAAAAAAAATGGAACTAATTGGCCGAATATCCGGCACTCGACCTCCCTACAGACAAATGTTCAACAATTCATACCAAATTTTGGAAAGAAGAAAGTATTACTATTGATTTAGCGACTAAGGTTGGCGGCATCAATTAAACGAGATTCAGATGGTCTAAAATCGTGGGCCGAAAAGTAGGCCGCAGATTGGCCTACATATTGCAGAAATCAATTACTATGGGGACACAAGAAGCTTTGGACAGGAAGTCAACAACCATAACCATGGCAATCAATGAGACTGCAAAAAAGAAGCATGGCCCTCCATGGAAGTAATCTAATGCGAATCAATTCAGAGGTCCATACTATTGTTATCGAGTTTTGCAAGTTTATGTAATACAAATAATTAATCAATCAGTATTTTTTTTTACTAATTTAAGTGTTAATTGAATTTCAATGTTAATCAATATATTTCATGTGGGCTCTCCATTAATAATGTTGTTGATGACGTTAAACAAATTATATAATCAAACGACACATGTTTCTTAGCCTCGTTAACGCTATTAGTTGTATTTTTTATTATAAAAGGTATTTAATTAAATTTTAAAAAATAAAGATTCATCGTTATTTTTTATTTCAGAAAAAAATTATTGAAATTTAAAAAATCAAAATGTTTTTCTTCCCATTTTTTATTACAAAAAAACATTTATTAAAATTAGAAAATAAAATAAAATAAAAGTTAAAGAATCATCAACAATTTTTACTGTAAAAGGTATTTAGTGAAATTAATTTTTTGTTCTTTTTTTTTAATTTCCACAAATGCTTTTTATAATAAAAAATGAAAAGAAAAAATAATATCAACGTCCGACGAGTCAAATAACCTATGTTGATTACGAAATTTATTTAACACCTTCAATAACATCATTAAGAACCTACATTAAATAAAATATTTGAACACAAAAGGCCAATTAATAGTTATGTGGATAGAAATATCTTATTAATCAATTGCTTATATTATTGGGTTAATCCGTTCATATCATAAAAGTCGAAATATTAAATCAAGAAGGACCCAGATTCTAAAATCTCTTGGGATCTTCATCCAAGTGCTTTTTATTGATTGCCCAACCAGTTTCTCCACTAAAGAGTAAAGATTCTACAAGTAATAAAGTGGATGGGTTCGCCCTTCTGAAATAGATGATACACATTTCCAATGAATTTTAACTATTTATATTAATAAAGCAACACCAGATCATCGTATCATCATATTCCACTCAAATCAATGTCAAGATGGTAATCGATGTCAAGATAATAACTCATTGATAAATAAATATTAATTTATAAATTAGGTATAGAGTTTGATATTTGTGACTAATATTTATAAAATACTTGAAATCGATTTTAGAAAGTGCTATTTAGTCATATTTAGAAAAAAAAAACTAATTTCTAAATACGTAAAAACTAATTCAAGAACACCATTGCTACTGAATCTGGAAAAAAAATTCCACCGAGACTCAGTTCCTCACATATGTTTAATTATAAATTGCTTCCAAGTTGTATAGAAAGGACACTTGATTAGATCAATTTGCAAATAAATTATGATACAAATTATTACACCATTCTAAGGATTTCAATGATGATATGTTTCAAACCGACCCTAAATATGTAAATAAATTTTAATGTTACTTCTAATCTTTAGATACGCTTCCTTCTTCTTTTTTTTTCCATTTCTTTCTCATTTTTATTTTCCTCTTATTTCAATAGTTTTTTTTAATTAAAAAAAATCAATACTTGAGTTATTTAGGGTTTTTTTAAAGTATTTTTTCCTTTATCACAAGATATATGAGGATCTGTGAGGAACAACCTGAGAAAAGTAAAAATAAATAAAATAAAAATATGAAAAAAAAACCTAAATCACCATGTAATCTAAACTTTTTTTTTTTTTTTGGTGATATTTGCGATTTCATTATCATACACCAAAATAAGTTCTTGGAATTTATTGTTTTATTTATATATGACTATTCAAAAAACAGAAAACATTAATTTTACATATGTGATGAAAAGGAACAAAGAGATACAATAGGAAGCTACAACATTTATTAAAAAATAGAGTAAATATATTCATTTATACTTATATAATACTCAAAATCTTTCATATATTCTTAAATTTATAATTTCATCTCATTTGTTTTTAAAAATATTTAAAATTTTTAATTTGTCATTTCGATCAATTTTTCTAACAAGATATTTTTTTTCCTAGAATGCTCCTTATTGAAATGCATGAAAAAAAATAAAAAAAATAGGTCATATAACTTTAAGTGTTTTTTTTTTATATATATTTTAATAATTGAAATTTTGGTAAAAATAAAATATATATGATCAGAAAATTTAATCAGAAAGATAAATTAACTATTTCAAAAAAATTTAGAAATAAATAGAATACAATTGAAAATGTAAAAATAGATGAAAACTTTAAGTATTATATAAAGATAGATTAATATATTTATACTAAAAATGACATGCAATGGTGCCAAAATCCAAATTATAGACGAGAAATTAGGAACGGGGGAAGTCTTCAATGCGGATTAGCCGTGAAGGGTTGGCATCAGTGCCAGAAAAACCTGAATTTGATGGCCGTAAGGCACAAAGCCACAAACATGTCCATCAATCCCTATCAAGAAACAAGAGCCTGTTGGAAACAAGCATGGCAACCAGTCACTCTCAAGATACGAATTCCCCATTGAAACATTTTTCTTTTGCTGTAAACTCACTCAACCTAATTTGAACGTGAAACATAAAAGTTCATTTTTTTAATGATCAAAGTCAGAAAGATGAAACCAAAAGGACCCAGATTTTGAATCCTTGGGATCTTATCCAAGTGATTTTTCGATAATTGTAAGGTTTTTTCTCTTTTTTTTACCTCCTTTCGAAAATGATTGGTTGCCATTTGCCAAGTTGTTTCTCCACTAAATGCAGGCAATACTATAAGAAAGTGCATGGATTCACCCATCTAAAAGATTGCATTAGACCTTATAAAGCAACAAGGATCAAATGAATCACTACACAAATTCTTCCAAAATCTACATAAATTAGGGCCATAGATCAAATTGCTAAGAAGTGGAAGTAATTACACTATCAAACAAAGGAGTTTGATGTTTCAAGGATTATACATTTCAAGGAGTGAAACAAAAATTGCCCCCTATCTTGAAGTCATACAGGCAATGATCTTTTCTAATAAACCTTAGCACCCTTGTATAAGTACCAACCACAAAAAAGTACAGTTATCCCATCAAAACAAAACAAAGACATGATTTAGCTAACTAGTCTCTAATAACTTCACGTTCACATTATGCTGCAACTATCGGTGTTCTCATCGCTGAAGAAGTGAGTGTACTGATCGGTGGCCGTAGGCGGAGGCATAGGGGGCTGCATGAAGTTTACGGCCGGATGAGGTCTGGCATACATCATTGGTTGAAACATGTCATTCCCGTTCTGCCTTTGTTGATTCATCATCATTGCCAAGTATTGCTGCTGCTGCTGATTATAAGGATTGCCTTGCCCTTGCCCTTGCCCTTGCCCCTGCCCCTGCCCCATTCCGGGATAATAGCCACCGTTCATAGCTCCCGGTGCCGGTAGTCCTTGCACAGGTGGAAAATTGCCCATCCTACCATAATTACCCATTGGACCCATCGGACCCATTGGACCCATTTGGCCCAAATTCTTGGGACCACCATGACCTGCTCCATCAATTTCATGGAACCCTTGTTTGATTTTGTTAATGTCATGGACCCCATCATTTTTGGCTCCACCTTTCTTGGGCCCATTGCCATTATTTTTACCATTTCCACCTGCAGAACCATGATTGGCAGCAGCCTTGTTAGTACTAACCTCTTCTTTTTTACTCTTCCGACCAAAGCCCAGAAACCCACCACCACTTTTTTTGCCATCTTTTTTATCTTTACCATCTTGTTTCTTGTTATCCCCCTTGCTTTTACCGTTCTTGCCATCACCACCTCCGCCTTTCTTTCCTCCTTTACCATCCTTGCCATCTTTATTGTCTCCCTTGCCCTTCATTACCACAGGTATCTCAAAAGCATCATCACCACCACCACCACCTTTCTTGCCCTTTCCACCACCACCACCACCACCTCCACCTCCACCGCCACCACCCTTTTTATCATTAAACCCAGGCCCGCTCATCATACCATAAGGCCCAGGGCCATTGTCCATCATGGGCATCATCTTGTTTGGAAAATTATGCCCCTGGAAATTACCCATCATGGGCATCATCTTGTTCGGCATATTATGCCCCTGGCCATTACCCATCATGGGCATCATCTTGTTAGGCAAATTATGCCCCTGGCCATTACCCATCATGGGCATCATCTTGTTTGGCATATTATGAGTATTGCCATGGCCATGACCATGACCAAACTCTTCCTCGTCATCATCAAACTCATCATCAAATTCATCAAACTCGTCATCAAATTCATCATCATCAAATTCATCATCACTTGCATCAAAATTATCCTCATTCAAGTTGAACTTAACAGACTTTTGGTTTTTATTTTGGGGCATCTTTAGATCCTTAGACCCTTTCATCTGTTGCATCATTTGTACTTGTTGACCTTTTCCACCCTTCTCAGATTTGCCGCCGCCACCACCACCACCGCCTCCTCCTCCTTTTCCACCACCAATTTGCATGTTCTTGAATTGATTATTGAGAACGTTTTGGAAGTTATTTGAGCCCTTTTGACCACCCCATAACTCTGCATGTTTCCCTGACTTCTCAAGCTTCTTTATGAGTTTGGCTGGATCAACATTTCCTGTCACAGTGACCTTCCCTTGCTCTGCATTTACTGTGGTTGTGTACACCCCTGCCAAAAAAAATAGCACCCCATAAGTAAAACTCAATGGTAACTGGCCAGCACATAGAGATAAACAAATAAAGTAAGATTTGGAAAATGATACTGCTTCCAAGGCAAAAGTCCCATCAATCAATAATCAAATAATCTGGACAAAACTTCTGCTTTCTTGAAAATATCATCTTCCATGAAAATTTGAACACCAAACCGAAAGATTAGACCACAACCTACAAGCAACCATCCAAAATCCCAAAAAACCTGGAAAATCTATATTTCAAAAGCATTGGACACATCAACTTTGCATCTAGCAATATTTTGAAGTCCAAAAAGATATCAATCTCATGTTAAATTTGGAAAGCTATCCTCCACCTCTCTTGACCATCCCTCTCACCAAATCCAAGTCTTTCATAAATCAGGACAGGATATTTTGGTAGTTAAATTTGTAATTTACAAACACAAATTAACACTCCCAACAGATTTTAGACAAAAAATATTAAATCTTTCTTCAAAAAAAAAAAAAAAAACAGAGATAAGTCACATAATAAGGAGCATACCCTCCATTTTTTGGAGCAGTTTCTTTACTTTCTTCTTGCATCCATCACAGTGACACTCTATGTTCACTTTCAAAACATGAGTCTGCTAAGAAAAAAACAACCACAACACAACAACAACAGAGTTACACAAGGAATCACAAACTAAACAAAAGACCAAAAGAAGGGTCCTGAGTAACTAGAATTTGAAGCGAAAAAAAAATTGGATAAAGACGATACCTGCATCTTCATAACCTCTTGTTTATTCATCCTTAACACAGAATTGCAAAAACAAGCAAACAAACTCAAAATGAAGTCAAAGAGAGTTTGAATTGACACAGAGAGAAGAAAGAGAGCAAATGAATGTGGGGTTTTGCGTTTGCTTCAGACGAGAGGAATTACAAGAAAGAATGTGCTAGTGCTACAGCCCACGAGGTATAAGAAAGAAAGAAAGAAAGAAACAGAGAGTTAAAGGCGGTTGGTGGTGTGCATTTAAAACCTATCCTTTTAGCTTTTTCTTGTATAAATCAAACAATCCTCAGGGCTATAACAAAGCTACTAGCGGTACACTAGTATTTAAGCTTTTTTCTTGTTTTTGTATCAGACAAGAGAGGCTGGAAGCGGTCGCACAACGAGCAAGGTATCATGATAAAGCTAGCTTGTCCCACAGCTGGACTCATGGCTTTATATATCTCAAGCTCACATTCTCAAGTGTTTTACAGCTTAGATAGCTAGAATATTATTAGTATAATAAAATTTATTTTTGGACTGTTGTTCATTTCATGAAGTCTAATTTATTAAGGCTTTTGACTATTGAAGTTTGTTAAAAGTTTATTATAAAAAAAAGTTTATTAGGTTTGATTCAGATGATAAATAATAATTTATAGTCGGCATTGCCATTATAATTAATTATAAAGAAATAATTTTTTCATGCTCTGATTTAATTATAGATGGTTTACATGAAATCCAACTATAAAAAGTTTAGAAGTGGTTTGACATCCTTTTTTTTTTTTTTTTTTTTAAGTTGCCTAGATTTAAAAGAAAGAACAAATTAGGTTGTTTGTTATTATATTTTGTTTTCTAAAAATGTAAAAATAATTTTTTTTTTTTAAGAACCAGACAAAATTGTTTGAAAAAAACTAGACAGTGATTGTTGGATTTGATTTGTTTCAATGAATAAAGTCAAAAACAAAACAATAAATCACGTCAAACAATCTCTTATTTTTATAAACGATATTTTATTAGAATATACCATAATTAGTAAAATGATAAAAATATTTTTGCTTCTGATGTTTGGCATTATGGACGGTGACAACGTTTCACGTGCATAATTTTTTTTATATATATATTTATAAATAATGGAATATTTTCAAATTAGATTCGGAGTCAATAAAAGTAAATTAACTATTTTTGGATTAAGCCAACGTTAAAAAATAATTACTTTTTAATCAATTATTAAACTAAATTAAATTAGTTTAAACTTAATATTATTAAATAATAATAATTATTATTTATTTATATATAATGAAAATTAAACTTTAATTTGGATTAAATCGAAATATTTTTTTATCAATAAATCGCATCTTGATTTACATGTGCATGATCTAAACTTGCAAAAGCCAACACTAATGCCAATGTTTACCCAATGAATCTTTAACTTTCTCTTTTTTTATATATATTTTTATTTTATATTAAAATAAAATTAATTATATTTAAAATGAAAACAATAAATTTTAATTTTTTTTAATAAATATAATTTTAAAATTCAAATTTAATATATTAGTAAAAAACTATCTACAGATCAACTCGTTTACCTCATCGTAGAGCCAATAATTTGTGATGTGATGATCTTTATTAATTATCTTTGCCGAAAACCAAGACAATGACATAAGGATGATGATTCTTCAATGTAGTGACATTTTATTAACTTGGTAGATCGAGAGAGATCAGAAGAAAACGAGGGTCGGTGGGGTAATGTTCGTGGGATCACGAATCGACATGGGCCTAACATCCACAGGATCACATGCATATTTACAGTTCACACTTCAATTCTTGGAAGAGAAAAATAATACTCCTGCTACCCCACTAGTTGTTTTGAGTGACCATTTTGACTCTGATGTCTTCTTGATTGACAATTTTGTTCTTCCCTCTTTGAATTTTGAAAATAAAAATAAATAATAATAATAATAATAATCCTATTCCTGCTCCTGCCACAGCATGTGGTGTGTACAGGCCATGTCAATTTCACCTCCCTTCGTGGTCAGGTTTTTCTTACCATCTATCCTGTATCAAAGTAAATTTAGTCTCTGCTCATCCATGCTCAAATTGGGAAATTGATGAGAATGATTTTACACAGTACTGACTGTCTTTGCTTTATCGATTCATATCTTGATAGGTGAAGAATATATTTAGTAATTATTACCATTCAATTATTATGTTTTATTTACTAAACGGTGTGCTATGAGTTGAGAGGAAATTAGTTTAATTGAAGCCTCTAATTTATTTCTACAAAATTAATCGGTTTTGATGTTTTCGAATTTATTATTATTCTTTGATCTATCATTTTGTTAATTTTTTCATTCAAAATGTTGAAGACTCAAATTCCACCAAATTTACTAAAGAAAAACAAATAAATATGAAATGAACTCGGAATTTTAATATCACATGACAATTCATTTGTTTTTCAAATTTTCTTTTATAGTAGATCAAGTTGGTTCTAAGCTTTTCTGTCAAATTAGATGAAAAAAATTATCTTCGTTCTACTGCAATTTGATAATTTCATATCTTTATTATCATTTTGAGTAATTTGAATAAAAAATATTCATTTTTAGGTAAATTTTATTCAAATCATATTTTTTTTCATTATCCGAAACAATGAACCCGAGTTGACCATTAAACTTTTTTTTGCTGTTATTTGAAAAAAAAATGTTACAAACATTTTTCTTCCATTTTTTCAAGAGAGTTTCTTTTTATTTAAAATTTTCACATATTAATCCATTTAATTTTTCTTTCTTCAATTTTTAAAAAACAGCTTTTATATAGTATCATTATCCACTAAAACAATCAACTTTTATAATTAATAAAATACAAATATCCATTGATTGAATTTAATATTTTAAATTATATAATAATTAATTTTTAATTGAAATTTTTCTTTTGTCATGCCAAAAAATTTATTCTTGTGATTGTCAATCATTAAATTTTACATACATATGTATTTATTTAATATTTTTTATCTTCACATGTTTTATAGGATTTTATTTTCTCACAATTAATTCAAATATACAATGTGCATTTAAAATTATTAGATTTAGAAAACTATTTTTTTAGACTTTTCTAATTATATTTTATTTTTAGTTTTGTAAAAACGAGTTCAAAAAGTGAAAGTTCTTTTTCAAAGAAAACAAAAAAAAAAGTTTAGTGATAAATTTAATGATTTATTTATTTATTTATATGTAAAGAGGTGAAAAAAAATCTTTCTTGAAAAATAGAGGAAAAGCATTTTTAGTGCTTAGAAAAATATAAGAAGAAAATTAACGATGAACTGGATTGATCATTGTAAATAATCGAGAAAAATATAATTTGAATAAGATTTGTTTAAAAACTGATATTTTGGAGCTAAAATTGTGAAAATTGATAATAAAAATTTAAAATTATCAAATTACAATAAAACAAAGTCAATTCTTGCCATTAGATAAAAAAAAAAAAATCTATCAAAAGATTGAAAAATGAACTAAAACATAAAGACAAATAAAATAAAAAAGCAAAGTTTGTAACTGGTCGGTGTGCTTAAAAAATGGTATTTTTATTTAAAAATTAATGGATCTACAGCAAACAATTTCTTATTAAAATGTAAGAGATAAAAAATTGGGGTAAAAGAGCTTTGCTTTAAAAGCAAAGGATGGCTAAACAAGCCAACCCTTCGGCAGACTGAACAGCTCAGTCTCTAGAGGAAGGTGGCTATGATATTTTCTCTCTCTTAATAGCAAGATTCGTACCTTCTAGTGTAGAGTGCTATAATAGATAACCCTGGCAAGAATATCCATGGCCCACCTGCCAAGTCTCTTTAGCTCAGCCAATTAATAAATAAATAAATAAATAAACCATATATATATACGCACACATATATATTTGGGGAATTGTGAGGATGGGTAAGCAAACCCACACGAAACTGAAGAGAGCCCTAATGGACCACCGCCAACAGATGTACGGTCTAACACGAAGAAAATTATTCAGGTTTGTACAAAACTCAAATTTAATTTTTATTATTTATAAATAATTAATTATAATTGTTTTATAATGATATTAGAATTGGACTAGTTTGATATAAGAAAAAACATAATAGTCGACAAAAAATTATAGGTGTTCTGACTTTGAATTCGCTCAAAAAATATATCTTTACAAACATGTATTTATCTATTTATCATCTAAAAAACATTTATTTTAATTTTATCTTCTATCAAATTATCCTTCAATACTAAATGATTACAACTAAATTTTTTATTAGTTCAATCTTGGATGTTTATCATTTCACAACATTCATTTTGTAGTCTTCAATCCATAATGAAATATCGTAATGTATTCTTTATAATTCAATTCGAGAATTTATGACAGATTAAACGAGATTTTTTTTCCAAATTTGGTAGCTAGGGTAGAAGACTGAGGATCATTCTACCGTTTAATTTTCTACACATTCATGATCAAGATGATAAACTCCTTGAATCTAGGTTTTTTATGAAATGACAAAATCAATTAAGGAGTAAAACAATTTAAGGGTTTTTGAGTATATAACACATGATATATAATGAAAAGTAACCCAAAAATACTCTTTTTTATATATATAAACCTCATGTACCATCACAGCAATGACTAAATATTGCACTATTGATCTGCAATTCTAAGACATTTCAACGTATTGAAAAGAGAGCTCACTCCATAACCATTCACCGAGACGAGGAAGTAAGAAAAGTCAAGAACAATTTAAAAAAAATAAATCAAGTTACGCAAATTTAAAAACCCAAAAAGATGTAGTAGTAGTAGCAGCAAGTTTCTAGTTAGAATTACAGCACGTGGCAAGTTTTTCTAGTCAGAAATCCTTCTAGATGCCCTAATGATACAGAACAGACATGGCCAAGGCATTTTTATTCAAATTTATTTTCAATTTTATAAGTCAAATTCATTATTTCTCAGATTTTGTAACCAAAAAAAAAAAAAAAAAAACCGACAATTAGACAACTCAGAATTTAACTACGGCTAAAAAGGCCAAAACTTTCTCTAAACTTTAATCTATTTCAAATTTAATCTTTAAACTTTTAATTTGTATTCTAATTTTTTTAACTTTATTTTTCTAGATTTAATCAATCTTTTAGTTTCCTATCATATATCTAAAAAAAAACTATATAAATAGTTTTATGATGAAAATTATTAAGTAAACCTTATTTGAAATTCTCCAAAAAAAGTTTGAAATCATTTCTGAGCTATTTTTTTATATTTTTAATGCTCAAAAAATAAATATAATTTCCAGTTTTAAAAAAAATTATATTTTTTTAAAAAATAAATTGGATTTTTCCGAATGTATGTATAAAAATTCAAATTAAAATATTTAAAATTAAAATTTTTAAAATAATAATTATATAAATAGTTCAATAATATAAATTATTCAATAAGATTTATTTAGAACTCTTAAAAAAAAAAGCGATCGATTTGTGTTATTTTTTTTAAAAAAAATTTATATTTTAATGTTAAAAAAACATAACTTTCAATCTTGAAATTTTTTTATTTTTTTAAGAATATAAATTGGTTTTTTTCCTAACATGTGTGTAAAATTTCAAATCAAAATAACATAAATTGATTTTTTTTTAAAAGAGTGATGGTTAAAAATCACAGCATGTACCAAATTTAAAAACAAAATCAAAACACAAATTTAAAATTAAATAATTAATTTTCAAATAAAGAAAAAGGTATGATATTTTTAGCCTTTAACTATTTGTCGTTTTACCCAAAAAAAAAAAGAAAAAAGAAAAAAAATATATATATGGAGGGAATTTGGGCATGTCTAGGGGCGGTGGATGTACGATTTTGGGAGGGATAGTGGCTATAATAATGCATTCCAGAAAAGAAGAAAAAAACAATAGAACCCTTAGTGACAAACAGCAAAAGTACCACCAAAAATGATCAAAGCTGTTAAAATATGAAGCAAAATGGTCACTCACAAAGGGAGAGAGATTAGATAGTATTATCAAAAGGGGCTGCCCAAAGCCAGCATTAGCAGCGAACATTTGGGCATCTTGGAACTCAATAATCCAACGTGTGCTCAGACACATACAAACGCTAGAGTCAAAAGATACATAGATGATTAAAAAAGTGGTTAAGCAATGATTTTCCTCTCACTTGGACCCTTCTTTTAGCAACCGAAATTATTGTTTGTCGACCTTAAAAGCCCAACCCTTGAGAACAAAATGCTGTCCCTCCCTTGTTATCTTCTTTAATGCTTCCTTTGCCTGGAAAAGATGTTTGAATGGTGACAAAAAGTGACCCCCATCCCACAAGACACATCCCCAAAAATATCTAACGTTACACATATTTTATGCTTTATAGGGTTTGTGTAATAGTGTTAGGTTACAAATTGGCTTTTCTAGCCCAATCTTTGACCGATCAAACCCTTTTCGTTAAGTCTTAAATCATGGTTCAATTACATGTGAAATGACCAATATGTGCTTGAAGTTTGAACTTCTATCATTGTTTTTTGAAACCTTGGGCTTGGAGAAGAGCCAATTACTAGGAATATGATACTAGTTGAGACCTAGAAGAAAGCAAAGTAATCTCGACTTGTAGGGTTTTAAACTAGTTCTCCCAAGTAGACAAAAAGCGAGTGTTATGTTATGTCAGTAATCAAGGCAAAATCACCTTGCAGAGGTTTAAATAAATATGTTTACTCTGCCAATAATGTCCAGATTAGTACACGTGAGGATCAACTGATGTTAGGTGAGAATATGATGAAGAAGACTGGGAGTTCACAGGGGAATTATAATTCTGATTTTCTAGCAGATTATGCAATAGATTATGAAGCTATGCAGCCTGGACCTAACTCACAGTTCATCATATGCTGCGTTGTGCTCCTTGCAGTCAACCCAGTGGCTCATGTGGCAAAAAGAATATTACAACTATTAAATTCTTGATTACATCTGATGCCATTATTACTCATTTCTTCTTCTCACCTTCCTCTCCTTCTTTATGTATATATAAAAAGTATCATCAATTCCATTTTTATATCAATTAAAACTAAACCTATGACTTTTTAAATTAATTTAATATCAAAATATGTTAAGTTTATGATGAATAATTGAGTTGTTTTTTTATACCAAATCAGTTTAATCATAATATTATTAAAGAATAATTATGATTAATTATTTACGAATAATAAAATTTGAATCTTAATATTGATCAAACCAAAACAATCTTCTTATTGTTAAATCACCTGTCTTGATAACTGAATTTCGTGTGATCAATTGAGAGATGTGATATAATGATAAATATGTTGTCTTGATTTAACTCAAATCAATATTTAATTTTTATTATTTATAAATAATTAATCATAATTATTCGTTAATGATATCATGTTTGAATTGATTTAATTTAATAAAAAAATTTAGTAATGATAAAAAAACTACACATGTTTAGATATTGATTTAGTTTAAACAATAATAAATTTAATACCACTTAAAATAAAAACAAATTCAAAAATAATCCTTTAGCTTTAAAAAAAAAAAAAAAATTAAAGTGTTGACTAGTTGGTGAGTACTCATGTGCGTTAATAGTATAGTTAGGGCAATCAACTTGAGACATGTATATTTCCAAAACAATGCCCTGCCTAATTATGGTGCCTATGGCCATGTTCTAACATCTGCCTACATGAAATAGACTGGCACAAACAACAATAGGGGCTTCCTCATTTGTCCTTGAACAAAGTTATTAAATCTCAACTACTGTCTAAACTGTAAAGCCTTAATTTAAGCTAAAGTCAAATAATTGCAAGAACATATTGGTAAAATAAGAAAGAGCACTTAAAATAGTGCTGGCTCCATAATTTCAACACTTTTTGACATTCTAGATATCATCAATCTATCTAAGATATTATAAAATTGATGGGATTTGATAAAGTGGGTGTTAGGAGGATACAGACATGAACATTTCAGTACAGATGTGCTATGAAGATTTGACAATCCTGAGTAGGGTCTTTCTCGACTGACAGCAATTGTAGAGGTACACAGTACAGCAGAGAGAGACACTGGCTGGCTTTATTCGTAGACTTGACAAGCTGATCAGTCTGGGGTCCCCTGCGTGAAGGCCAGATTTTGAACCCTCGTGGCTGGACAGTCCCCTCAGGGTAGTGGTTGATGACAGCCGTGGTTGAGTTCTAGCCGTATAGAACTGATGAGGCTCGCAACTTGTTGAACCCATTCGCTAAATAATGGGCCTACTTGAGGAACAAACATGGTTGGGTTCGGTGGAAACTGAACCTGTCTAAGCAGGTTCATCCTACCACTGCTGCCAAACCCTTTTTCTTTGTTTTTTGTCTTCTTTTTATTTGTCATTTTGTTCACTGGTATTGTTTGTTCCTTTTTTCTTCTGTATTTTACTCATAAAAGCTGTGAGTAAACCTTGGATGGAAGAACCGAAGAAGCATGCTTCAGGTCTCTGTTTGGAGCTACAGCTCAGAAGGTACCACCAGCTTGGAAATCAGACAGACATGTTCGATAGTCAAAATGACTGAACAAAGCCTAGATATGCTCAATTCCTATGACTTCTAGTCAACAGTCATGTAAGAATGTCCCTTAATTTTGGAGCAAACTGAACTCGTAAAACATCATGATACTACTACATTTGTTTGCTTCTAATGAATCCAGTGAGAACAAACTTCTACTAAATGGAAGGCACATTCAGGGAAAGAAAAAAAGTAGGGCATATTAGTTTGATCAAGTGTTCGAAAGTGAAGATACAAATTGTATAGAAATTAAAAGTTCACAAGAAGAAAGAAATCATTAAAGTTTGATCAAGTAATGACTAGAGTCCTCACTTTTCAAATGAATGTACACATTTGGGGAGTAAAAAAAGAGGATAAAAGCAAGAAAGAAAAGAATATTAAGGTAGATCATCCTCCTTAAGTAGAGAGAAAGATTGTTTTTCATCGCTTCTCCTTCACGTGGTTTTAGAGGATTTTTCTATGAAGCATTCATGCAAATGAGGCAGCTGGCCTATTGATGAAGGTACATTAGACATTTTCTTTTTTTTAACATATATTTAAAGGTTTCGAGTAAGTTTTCATATAAATCGAAATTAATTTCATAATTCTCCGAATTAATATATTGTTAAAACATATATAACGTTTGATCGATTACTTGACTGTTTTTTAAACCAAAATAATTTAAATTTAACACTATTAAAGGACTGGTTATATATAAATAATAAAAATTGAATTTTAATTTTGATCAAATCAAAATAACTCTCTCAACGGTTAAAACATATTGGTTAATACATTAGACAATTACACATAATTATTTACTTTGAGACAAGAGAGAGCATCGATACCTATGCCATTCAAAATACTACAGCTGACACGAAACTGATGATCCAATACAGATTCAAACCCTATGGCAAAAGTGTATGGTCATTGATTCTCCCTTCACCTTTAGACACTGTTCAAAACTGAAGGCTTCACTTTAGTCCCCCTCCTTTTGTCATACAAACCACAATGTTTTCCATGCTTTAGACATACCAAAGTACTTTCACCTCAGATGATAACTTGTACAGCAAATATTCCAAACTCCCTTTCCTTATCTTTCTTTCTTTCTTCATACAAATTTTATTTGTGTATTTGAGAGGCAGAGAGAGAAGAAAGTTCAACCGAAATAAGTTGTCTTTTCATACTATTATCTTCGAATAACCAAAGGACAACTAAAACTTGCACCAACATTTTATTTTTTCTTCAATTCTTTTGACAAAGCTAGTTCTCCCTTTTCTCTTTATAGCTAGAAAAGTGCAAGATTTTCTTTTCTTTTTTTCTTGTAAAAAGAAATGAATGCAAATTCTTTCATATAAACTAGCTAGTTGGGCGATGTTTTAATATAAAATTTAAACCAGCTAGTAATGTCACTGCTAATATAATATTTTTAGAAATCATATATAATTTGGTTGCTATGGTTGCTAATTATTAACCATACACAAATAATAATAATTAAAAAACAAAACCACAGCTTTCTTCTTCGTCCATCTTCATCACGTATATATATATAGTTGGTCGCTTTTAAATATTTAATAATAAATAATTCATCCAAATTAACTTAGTTATATTACAAATAGTTGAATTAAAATTTAATTGGAGTTTAAGAGTAGTAATTTTTTTTTTTTTTTTAAAAAAAGCGTCTGAATTTCAAGCTTAATTAACATGATAACAGTTTAAGCCATCCCATATCAATATCCAAACAGTTATTTCAATATGCAATTGATATTACAACATTTAAAAGAAAAAAGATCACGTAGCTTGTACTAATTTTCAATTTTGTTTGAAACAAAATTTTTTATGTGATTATCTTAATGCTTTAGACATTTCTGAACTAGTTTTTTTTTTTCCTCTTATGTTTATTACATTTTATGCTAAATTTTATTCAATTAAATGCCTTTTTGTTGCATATAAATACATGCAAATTCAATAGATAATAACATTTGTAAAACTGTTTCACTAATGTTTTCTTTTTTAAAACATTTAACGTTCAATTGAAAAACTATTTTATTTGAAGATGAATTTGAAAATTAAATAATGAAGTAAATATTTGTCCAAAAATGTCAAATCAGAAATGAAACGGATCAAATACTTTTTAGCTTACTCCAAAATTTCAATTGTTTTAGATTTTTAAACACAAACCATCTATTTGATTTCTTTTAATAAATGTAGACAAAATTTCCTTCTATTTATTTAATTATTTTGTTAACTTACTCATGCAATAATCGAAGGTTAGTAAATTAAAATACCATTAACGTGGATATAATTAAATCATGTATGCTTTTTTTTTTTTTTTTTGTCATTACCGATTAATCATGCATTTTATATTAATTGCTTTTGCTTGATATGTTAATTTTAAAATACTTAAAAGTAATTAATAATGCTTACTTCACTTTATTTTGTGGAGATAGACAGACTAAAAAAAACGTTCAGATTTACAAAAAATGATAAAAATATTTTCATCGATACTCAATTTTTTTCTTCTTTTTATGTCAATTTTTCTATAGAATAAATTTCTCTTAATGTCTTACCTTTTATGTACTTATTACCCACGCTCCCTATTTTTTCCTGAGAAAATTTGAATCTGCGAGTCTCTTTATTTTTGCCGTTGCAATTAATTCTAGATCATACCAACCCTAGATTATCACACAATACGGTTTGGAACTGACTCCACCTGATCATATAGACCGAGATTGACAAGGTCCCAATTTGTTTTTTATAAAGAGGCCCATTGTTTGATAACTACTCGCAGATTATAATGGTCCTTGCTCATGTAATTAAAGACTACAATTTCTAATTTTGTAATTTTTAATCAATTTAGCCCTTGTCATGCGTTCTTCAGATTTTACTTTGTTAATCAGCTATGTTTTTCATGATTTTTTTTAAAAAAAACAAAAACAAAAACAAAACAAAACTATGCTTCTAGCTATTTTGGTCTTTGAATAAATTACCATAACACTAGAAACCCTAGCGGCTGTGTGAGAGAGAATACAGTGACTACAGAAAAAATAATTTATCCATCTTGTAAAAGTAAACATAATACAATCTTTATACAAGAATAAGAAACAAAATACATGTGTATCTATCACCATGCTCTTCTCTTTATTAGAAATGCATCAAATTTATACAAGAAGGGAAAAAAAAAAAAAAACTCTATCAAACTTTCATGTGTAAGAAAATTTGCCATCTCAAACTAGAGGGAATTGCTAAAGCAGCTCTTGTGTATCAATCAGTGCTTCGATTCTTTGTAAACATTTTCGGCAATCCTCGTTCAATTGTCGGATGGTTCTTTATTTGGGATGAGCTATAAACAAACAGAAAATAATACAAGGCAAAAGGAAAATTGCTATTTAAGAAAGAGATAAAAACACAAAGGGTGAGATTTAAAAAATTCACAAACAAAATATGGGTAAATTGAAGTATCATAACATTGCAGTGACCATCCAAATAAAGATACAACAAAACCCCCCTCAAGTTTAAGTGATTATTACAATAACCCTTTTTATATATCCAAAATATCCTTGTTTTTTTTTTTTTTTTGACCATTAAGAGCGTTTTGAGTATAAAAGGAGGTTTTTGTAATATCTTCAAACTTTTGGATGGTCATCGTAATTGCATGATATTTCCGGGGGTTATTGTAATTTACCCAGAAAATATATAAGAAATAGTCACTCAAGAATATTGCATGCGTTGAAATGGTTAAGAACTTGAACGTTTATTAACCTTGATCTCCATAAGTTCCTGGATGGGTTGGCGACAAATAGGACACCTATCTGATCGAGACCTCAACTCCTTCGCACACCCGCTGCACAAGCACTGCCAAAGAAGAGATTGGTTATTTAATTCAGTAACAAATGCAAAAAGGATTGTGCATGGCAAAAAAGTGATTATAAGTGCACATAATGGTAGTCAAAACCGTTTTTCGTAACAAAAACTTAGTGGATGCTACTTTCTACTTTCCTAAAGCATCACACAAATGAATACATCAACACCTGTTCTCAAGCAGCACTAGCTATTGCCAGTAACTAGGATAAAAAGATTGATTCAAGGCCTAACTAACTAGACCAATGCAAGAGCAAGGGTGTTACTGCAAACAGACATTTTAAGATACCGATGAGTTACAAGGATTATTCTATCTACCAAGATGTTCCATAATAATACGCAAAATCAAATTCATTATTCTAACTGAAGAGCTTTAAGGCATAAGCCAGTTTCTCTAAAGGATATGCTTTGCATTGGATGCATGCATCAACACAATCAGAATGGTCTAACCACCTAAACACATCGAGAAGGCAGACTAGTGTTTTCATGTCAGAATTGATACAACCACAAAAGCTACGATCGATACTAGATTGAACATGACTCGTTGATAGACTGTTTGTTAATAACAAAAGACCATGATTAGTTAATATAAAGAAGAATCATGCTACAAATGAATATGCAAAGGTCTCTCACCATATGTCGACAAGGTAAAACAGCTGTATCCTTTGGATCAGTCATGCAAATAACACATTCTTTTCCTGAATCACCCTCATCAAAGCTAGCACTGTCAGAATTGGCAATGCCATAGATCTCTCGCAACTCATAATGAATCCCGTCAATCCATAAGATTTGCTTGACTACTTTTACTTGAAAATGGCCTTCGTTATTTTTCTCCAAGACAGCTTCAGTTATTTGTGCATGAGTAGACAAGGTAGGCAGAGCCTTGTCAGGCTCTTGACTTGTAGATGTAGAGAGAGAAGGTGAGCATGCTTCAGCAAAGATAACAAGCGGGAACATATCTTCCTTGGGTGAGGGCTTTGATAGCTCATCCAACTCAAAAAGCCTAGGTCAATACCAGTTCCTGATGGTTGAGAGAATTTTTGGCCTACTCCTTTCTGAAAGGGGATTTTCCTTGGCATATAGATTTCAGGGTATACTGGCACGAATGTACAATTGTCTTCTTCCTTTGCAAAATAAAATATGGTGATGCTGTCATTGAAAGAAAAAAGAAATGTCACATATGTATGATGAATAATTGGTCGTGTGCTGGATTGATATTAATTTAGAACAAAAATCTAAAACAAGAGAAATATCATCAAGTAATCAACATATCAAACAAATCTAAGCCAGTAAAGGACATCTCAATCACTGAAGCACCAGGCTAGAGGCAACTCACGTGTACTCATTAAAGCTCAAACATCCTTCAAAAAATTACCATAACCATCCAAAGCAAGTTTTTTCTCGAAATCCACAAGTCAGCACAAAAATGAATGCATTCCAAAGCTTGCAACATATTGTAAAACACAACTTGAAAATAAGAAATCAGATTTACATTACTACTGGCCCTAAACCAAAAATTTCAAATGAAACTTTCTTTTATTGCGGTCACTGATATTTGGTCCACTAGCAATCAGTTCAAATAGAACTTTGACGGATTTTAAAGAGCTTTAGATCAAGCTTACCAACTAAAGAATAAAACAAGAAGTAAACATCAAGAATAGCATATTATATTTTTTTGAACCTTGAAAACTAACAAAATCTTAATAAGCAAACCACTATTGAATTACTCAAAATCTTAAACAAAAATTAACTAGCTCGAAATGCAAATTTTCACAGGAATGAACCACGAATCCCATCAACACCATCAAGGAAACTGATCTTCAACTCTCCAATCCCCTACTAGAATTGAATATGAAAGGGATGCAGAACTGTATCTGAGCACCCTCAAAATTAAGATCCATTTTCGCAAATTAAGGGGTGCAGAACTGTATTCGAGAATCCTCAGAAAATTATTTAAACTTTTCAATTGTTAACCCTCCCAAAATTGAATCAAGGATCTTCCCAATGTAGGTTATGATCATGATTGATGATACAGAACATTTAATTTGTACATAAACTGATTCACTCATCCACTACTTTTCAACGAAGGATTTTATAAACTAAGGCACTTGCAGAATTCTTTCAACTCAATTCACCACAAGATTCAATTCAGGACAGTAGAATTTTTTAATGTCACAACACCAAACAACCTAAATTCTTAATCTTTCCAGCACCAATTTCCTCTAACCAATAAAAATTTTCACTTGCCAATCATAACTAACTCAAATTCACCCTATCAATCACAAACAACAAAACCCCATCAACAAATTCCACAAAAAATGAAAAAAGAAAAAAACTCTAATCCTACCCAGTTACTTAAATCACAAAACAAACAATAATATCATTAAAAAAAAAGCCAAGTTCGTAATTTGAATAATACCTGCCATCAACAACAGCATCAAAAGAAAAGGAAACCAAGTGGTAACCCGAATTATTCTCATCCGGGACAACTTTAATACTAGCCTTATTCACATTCACAACATTCTTGATTGTCTTCGCTTGATTATGCTGAACATAACGTGGCTGCTGCACCAATCCTGAATTATGATGCCTCAGCTGTGTTGGTGGTGGTGGTAGTTGTGGGCCCATGAAGCCAGCTTGATGGTAGTGATATGGGCCCCACCCATTATTACTGAAAGGAAGATGAGGCGGGGAGGAGGAGGAGGAGGAGGAGGAGGAGGAGGAGGAGGAGGAGGATGGTGATGGTAACTAAAAGAACCATAAGCAGAACTAGTGGGAATCATAGGAGGAGGAGTGTATGGTGCATTTGCTGCAAAATAATAACTGTGTGGCCGTTGTAGCGGTGGCTGTAACGGTGGTATAGTATTTGTTAATGGATTATTACTAGAGGGTATTGAACTGTTTTGTGCGGTAAGGTTATTACTATTGTTGGTGTTGGAGAAAGAGGGAAGTTGGTGAATTGGGGTGGTTGTGGAGGAAGGAAGGGAAGGGTCTTGTTGGTTTTGATGGTGGTGGAGGTGGTTGTTTTGGCGGTGGTTTCTTCGATGCCTACTTGAAGAGGAACCCATTTTCGGACAAGTTGAAGCGGCTTTGTTCAAAGTTTCTTAAGAAGACTTTTTCTTTGGTTTGGTGTGTTTTTTATGGAATCTGGGGAAACTGGATTGTACCGCAATGGTTTTATTTTTTTAAGAGTAATTATAAATTAGTCCTTTTAGTTTTAAGAAACGAATTATTTAATCCTTTTTTATTTCAAAAATTATTATTTAATTTTTTAATCAGTTTTTTTTTTTAATTCACATATCTAAAACTTGTAACGGAACTAGTTTATCAGTGTTTGAACCTGTGACCTCTTGTTATAAGAAACCGCTACTATTGAGTTATTTTAATTAGTGTTGATCATGTTTAAATTATCATTATTTTTATTTTATAAAATATTTTCTTTTCTTATCAATTTTTTATTTTTTATTTCTTAAAATAAAAAATTAAAATAAATTGAAAAAAGCAAAAAAACTAAGTTACAATTACATTTAAAAATATGAGAATTAAATGTTTAATTTTTAAAATGAGAGAGACTAATTAATTTGTTTCTTGAAACAAGAGGGACTAATTTATAATTTTAATCTTTTTTTTAATGTTTCTAAAAGAATAAAATTAAGAAGATAATAAATCGAATTAGTACTATTTTCTTTGATTTGACTAATCGTGGAAGGGAAGAAATTTTGGTTGATTCTTGATTGGGAGAGGTTAGTTTAGAGAAGGAGACGAGAAGGGTCCTAATGGATCCATTCACGGTTTTGTGTTTGATTTGATAATTAAAATTTAATTTAATATGTTACTATTTTATTTATTTATTTATTAGTAGAAAACATTAGCTTTTTTAATTTTTTTTAAAATTATATAATAAGATAGGATCATGAAGTTTTATATAATAAAGATTGCTTCCATCCATACCCCACCTTTGATGGAATTACGCTACCGCGTTACTCTTTTAGTGAATGCGTATGTATGATTTCAACATTTGATCAAATAATAGCCCAATTAGTTCCTTGCCGGCAACGGCATCCTCCTTTTGGTATCTAGGGTTTTATTTATCCATTAAACTGGTTGATTTGGTCCTTTTTTTTTGTTTTTTTACTACGCTCATTATATTCAAAATATTTAATTTATTATCTTTACTGATGTTTTTTATATATATATATATATATATATATATATATAGAGAGAGAGAGAGAGAGAGAGAGAGAGTGAGAGATGAGTATTTCGTTTTTGTTTTCAATTTTTAATATTTTGATTCGGCTTTTTTAGTTAAACGAACTCAACAAAACAAAAAAAAAAAAAACCTGAATGAAATTTCTATTTAGTTTTCGATTTATGAAATTTTAGTTTTTGATTTTGATTTTTTAGTAAAAACTGAATTTCTTTTTTTTTATCATTTTTAAATAATATAAATTAACTACATAAAAAAAAATTATGTTATGGATTATGAAGTCCTTCCTCTGGTCTAAATGATTTAAATTAGTCTATATGAATGATATTAAATATTTGTTTAAATGTGACCCAAGCACAGAGCCATATCACATAATAAGACATCAAAATTTAAATATAAATCTATTGATTTATATTTAAAATATATAATGATAAAAAACTATTAATTGTTTAAAAATATTGTAAATCGAACTACTAAAATTCAAATAACAATAAAAAATTCAAACATGTTCTAAAAAAAATCATTTTTTGGTGAAAATAATAAAAATTGTAAGAAATAAATCGAAACTGAATAATTGAAATTAATTTCTAATCGAATTGAATTAAAAACAAAGAAGAAATAAATTTGCAAGAGTTATTACTGCTGTAATAGTACACGTTTTTTTTTGTTTTTTTTCTTGTTTTTGGTATGAAAAATTATGTAATATATTGCAGGTTAACCCTCTACCCTAAAATAATTTCAAGGAAAAAAATGTCAAAATTAAACTCGATCTATTATTGTTAAATAGTTGTCAAAACAAGACATATTTTCCAATAGATCTTCAATTATTATAATTTCTCAATTTGGTACTAATTTTGAATATTATTTTAGGAAAAATGTCCAATTATACTTAGTATCGTTGCTGACTTGTTTTATTGCATAAAGTATGCACCTTAAAGGAAATTACTCACGGATTATTCAACCAAGAACAGGAGAATGAGCGAGGGGCGAAAATGAATATATTTTTACTTTAAGGACTATAAATGAGGTTTTGCTAATTTCAAATAACCAGCGTCTTGCAGTAACCATTGACAATTGACAAATGGCATTGCCTCTGCATCTCTTTCTCCTCAACGACAAGTCTCCTCCCTCCAACTCCTCTATGTTGGAGGAGCTCCCAAATTGAATTGGCAAAAAGCAGAAACAAGAAAAAAAGGCTGAGGCTAATTTATTTTCCATCAAAACAAGGTAACTCAAACTCAAAAAAGCCTTTTTTTTTTCTTGTTTCACTTTCATTATTATTGCATTTTTTTTTTCTTATCATGAAATGTAGAGATTTAAACTTTACCATCTAAGTGAGCAAAATTCAGAAAACCCAGTTGCTTATGGTTGCAAATTGTGGGTCTTGATATATATAGCGTGTTTTCTCAATTAGATTGGAAACCGATTTGGTAGATTTTAATTTGGTTGTGATATGATAACATATTATACTGTAAAGTAGGAAACTTTAACATGAAAAAACATAAATTTGCAATTTTTTTGAAGTAAGAAGTAGTTTAAGTTGTAACTTGTAATCCTGCCGCATTGATTAGCTAGATGTGATTTTTGCTCAACAATCAGCCATATAGAACAATGCATCTCGCGTGGAGTGTGTATTTGAACTTTGCAGTTAACTTTGCGGTATTTTTATGAGAATCGACTGCATTGTTAATGATGGGTTGGCGATCAAAATGCTACTCAGTGAAGTGTGAGGTGATATTATCTGAGTTTTATGCTTAACAATATGGTGCGAAGTTTTTTTTTTTTTGGAATTCTACATGCCTATGGTTTCTTTTACATAGTTTGTACAATCTTGCTGTTTTATGATTTGATCTTATAATCCTCTCTCTCTCTGTTTTTTTCTTTTTAATCTAAGAATGATAAGATGTGATATTATAATTAAAATTTTCTTAACCTGTAGAATGGGAATATGGGAGTGTGCAAGTATAAGGAAACTAGAAGTTGAATGAAGACCTTTGTTTCTAACTCATACTTGTTTCGTAATGTGTTTGTTTGTTTGTGATTTTTGTGTTTTGCAGTTGGTTTGAATAGTGAAGAATCTAACACAGGGTAAAATGGGAGATACTGAGGATAGTGTGAAGCGAGAGAAGAAAGTGGTATTTGTAACTGTAGGAACAACATTGTTCGATGCTCTTGCAAGAACAGTGGATACTAAGGATGTCAAACAAGAGTTATTAAGAAAAGGGTATACCCACCTTGTTATTCAAATAGGTCGAGGATCCTACACTCCTACCAAGGTATACTCTCTTATAGTTCATTCCCTTTTTCCTTCTTGGCTGGATCAGATGTTGAGTTTTGGTTTTCTGAGGGTGGACAAAGGAGTTTTCTAGAGATGTCTTGTCTTAAATATGTTAGATAATGGCCTCTGACCTAAACTCTTATATAGGCAACTCTTCTATCCTTGAGGTAATGCATCTATAATGTCAAGGATCATCATTGAAATTTACATGGGATTTACATGTGAAGTAAAATAGATATCCAGGGCTCTTATTACGTGCTTTGAAAGTTGCTGAAAACCATGCGAGATGAGAGGTTGAAGAAAAGCAATGAATCCTTTATTGAAGGCTTATATTTTGGATTTTTAAGATTCTCAGTAGGTTGAGTTTTTGGGGACTATTGGGTCTTTCTTTTTCCACTTTATTCCTTTCATTAGACATATTACTCTTCAAATTCATGCTTCTGTCATATTTCTTATGAGTTCCTTTTAAATGCAGTGTGATGGAGGAGATGGATCTCTGGCTGTTGATTACTTCACTTTTTCTCCAAGCATTGCAGACCATCTGAGATCAGCATCTCTTGTCATCAGCCATGCAGGTAACCTATTATTTATCTTTTATTTTATTTTTTTTATATTTGGTGAATGTCTGAGTCATATCCCACTATGTTACAACTATAGAACTCACACCTAAGCTCATACAGACTATCATATTTTAGTATGACAGAAACTTTTGGTAAAATGTACCTTTTCTTAGCAATTGAGGATTACCTGAAACAGCAAATGCTGGTGGGATTAAGCCAGGCGCTGTCATAGCATACACTGCCACAGGCTAGGAATTGAAAGTATTGGATAATAGTTGAAGTCCAGTTTTTTGAGTAAACATGGTGAAACATCATTGTCGGTACCTATCTAGAGGAAAACCACAGATTTCATTTTTAGAAGCAAGGTTGTCTTGTGTCCCTTTATGTTTTCTATAAAGGAGAATCATCAAAATGGAAAGTTTCATTATTTAAAATGAGGTAGATACCTTGTGCTCCTTGTACTTCTTTTATAGATATATATTCCTGCAATTTTGTGTCCAAAGAAATGATAAACTTGTCAAATTCATTTTGGTGCTTTATTCTCCTTATCTGTAATGATGGAGATCATTGAGAAATTTGTCAATATAACATGGTTCACTAAATAATTTAGGCTCTCTATTATTTGATATTTGTAGCTCATCAAGTGCCTATGAGTATTTAGGAGAATGCTTGACTTCTTTGAATTAAATATAAATTTTACCAATTCATCGATGTATACTGGAACTTTACCAGATTAACTATTAATCTGGTGATTGTGGTGTTGCACTGTGTCTTTTTCAGTTTTTGTTGGAAAGGTCTAGAGAATCTGTACTTTTTACATGAAAAAAAGGAAGGGGGGAGGGGATGGAAGTGGAAAATTTTAGCTGGTCAAGCTACCTGTCTTTATAATTCAGAGAAAGCTCTCTCAAGGTAAAAGCTATGAGATGAAAAAATCTGGTAACTATTTGCTACTGCAGTAATATGCACTTAATTTGGATGCTGGAGTGGTCATTAACTGGTTGTCTTTTTGCAGGATCTGGCAGCATATTTGAAACTCTGCGGCTTGGTAAACCTCTAATTGTAGTGGTGAATGAAGATTTGATGGACAATCATCAAAGTGAACTGGCAGAAGAACTAGCAGAGAGGAAGCATTTATATTGTGCTCATCCTCAAACGCTTCATCAGACAATATCTGATATGAATGTGGAGTCCCTCCTTCTGTACCCACCAGGGGATGCCACACCGGTTGCCAAGCATATAAACAGGTTTCTTGGTTTCCCAGATGATTGATGAAACTGTAAAATTTCGTAACTGAAGTAGATAATTGTAAGTATGCGCCTGCCAACGAACCGTTGCCAGGCTATCAAGTTGCTTGTTTTGGTTAGGCATAAAGTATTGTCGAAGGACATGTCTAGCTGTCCGACAAGAATTGGAATAGATCCAGTTGATTTTGCATACAAGTTATTGTACTGATATTTAATTTCACGACACATTGTACAGACAGTTTTGTTTAATGGAATGGTAAACATGTGGAAATTGATATGGCCATTTTACTAGAAGAGGTAGAATGGTTTTTTTTTTTTTTTTGCGAGTCAATTCGGTATACATGGATGATCAGGTTGCCAACCAAAGGTTCCATTTTGCAAACTTAATTGGTATCTTTAGCAAGCAGTAGACAATACCATTGATATTTATCAATGACAGAGCTCATGATGTAAAAAGATGGCAACTTGGTTGTTTAGGTAGGTGAGAATACGATAAACTGGATCTGAATGGCGTTTCTTATAGAGATAACATGAGATGGCATTGTAGTATAGTACTAGCTTCTTTTCATTATTTTGGACCAGGTCCCAACTTGAATTTATTTCTTTTAAAAACCAAATGCTTCCAGTTTTGTACCGAATTGTGATTGCCACATGACCTGTGTGACTTGCAGATGAGCAGTCACAGCTCTTTTATTGCTTCTGTCTCATGGATTGGAAGGTCCCTGTCTTGGAGGCAAGGGGGGAAAAAGGGACAAAGGCCCAGCCCATGCAGATAGTGATATCCCTCTGGGGATGGTCTAGCTGTCTTTCGCAATGCTCATGTGGGGAAGGAGGAGAAAATTTTGAGGTAGAAAGGAAAAATAGAGACACCAATTTAACTTCGGTGAAGAGTCCAATAGTCTAATCCACTATAATTGTGGAAAAATGTGGTGGGCTAAGCATTAAAAATCAAATTTGATTTTTGAATTCATGGGACTGGATAAAGGACGTGAATTTAGCTTCATTGATTAGCAATCTTCATGTAAAATAAGAATCTTTTACATCTGGCTGCTTAATCACAGGGGTACTTCTGGTTTCCCTGAATTGAATGCAACAGTTGAGTTTATGATCACAATTCTTGGAATAATCCTATATGACAAACTTCAATCAGAATTAAGGATTTTTGACCTATGTGGTACCTTAGCCTTGTGGAAATTGCATGCCTAGGGCTACGAAAAGATTTGGTTTATGACATTGCTTCAAGAAATCAACAATATCAACTGCAAGTAGGGATAGAAGTCATTATCTTTATGCATATAGTCATAAATGCTCCCATCCATGAGGCTTTGAGATGAGTGAATGCTTGAAGTCACTCTACAAAAATATATATTGATTGAGCTAATGATATGGTTTGAGTATAGAAGTGAAAATCATGCAAAAGGTTCTGCTGCGATACTGACAATGACCACTCCGTAGAAAATACAAAAGAAGGGACGAATGAAGTACACAAAACACCTTCTTTACTCACGAGCGAGAGCGAGCGAGAGAGAGAGAGAGAGAGAGAGAGTGGAATTTTGTGTTAGAATAGGCAATGTGACCTCTTAGGAAGGGAAACTCAATCCTTTCTTATACGTTCTTGCACCTCACATTATCATTCCCCCCCTCTCTCTCTCATTAGTCATTTTTCTTCCTTGCTCTTTGTGCTCATGGAACCTAGCACCACTGATGAGCCTGCAAAGTCACATGGAAACCATACAAATAAGCATCATAACTTGCATTCTAAACTCCATGACCATCATCATGGCACCCTCTCTTCCACCTCCATTCTTATAATAATCATATCAGCCATTTCTGTTGTTGTAGTTCTCGCAATCTTTCTTATTATAGCCATGCTTAGAAGGCTCAAAGCTTCAAAAGATGGAGGCAGTTGCAGAGACTTTAGCAGCTGCAACACTAGCAAGTTCATTGCTCATACCACCATAAGCTTCAATTCAAGCCCAGGTACGTAATTGCCCCATATCAAAGCTCTTCAGACTTTTCTTCATTTCCCCATCTAAAAAGAAGTCCAGTCTCTGTTTGATTTTGAAAATGTTCATTTTAGTTTTCATTGTTTTTGGAAAGCTTTCAACATCTAATCTTCAAGACCAGTGTATTTAGTTCCAATCATCTAAATTACTTGATTCACGCAAAGTTTCACTTATGCTGTATGTGTTCCGAAATATGGCAGATCTAAAGGGCGGATGTCTCTATGCAAGCAATTTGGGCCATAATCCTGCAAGTAAATACAAAGGAGTCCAAGTTTTCACATACAGAGAGCTTGAAATTGCCACAAACAAATTCAGTGCAGCAAATGTGATAGGGAATGGAGGGTATGGAGTGATGTACAGAGGTACCCTGAGAGATGGGACGGTGGCTGCAATTAAGATGCTTCATAGAGAAGGGAAGCAAGGAGAGCGTGGATTCAGGATAGAGGCAAGTGACTTCATTTATTAACTTTTGGCCCCATTAGGCTCCTCTTCTTGATTTGTTATTTTCTTGTTTTCTAATCTCTATATTTCCATTTTAAGTTACTATGACCTAAAGAGGCTTGAAGCCAAAACTTCAAATGCTCAAATGGGATTCTCATTCTAAAGTCAATAATGGTGATTTAAGTGAAATGTTGGTTGTTGAATTCGAAATACATTCATAAAATTTTCAATCTATCAAGGCACCTACTCTTGTGTATTGAATGCTAACAATCCTTGCACATGGGAGTGATGCATTGTGTCATTTTCAATCTCTATATTGCAGGTAGATTTGCTAAGCAGGTTGCAGTCACCATACTTGGTGGAGCTACTTGGTTATTGTGCTGACCAAAACCACAGGCTCCTAATATTTGAATTTATGCATAATGGAACCCTTCAACACCATCTCCATCACAAGCAATATCGACCGTTGGAATGGGGGACACGATTGAGGATAGCCCTTGATTGTGCTAGGGCCCTGGAGTTCCTTCATGAGCACACAACCCCAGCAGTTATCCACCGTGACTTCAAGTGCAGTAGCATTTTACTGGACCAAAATTTTCGAGCTAAGGTTTCGGATTTCGGATCGGCTAAGATGGGTTCGGATAGGATCAACGGTCAGAATTCGACTCGTGTGCTGGGGACCAATGGTTGTCTAGCACCAGAGTGAGTGATTCATCGTCTGTCGTGCTTCTGATTTTTAATTAACAATCGATGTCAATGCGAAGGTCAATTTTCATATGAGATTGCACATGGGCAAGGGAATTGCCCATTAGGCAGCATGTCATTTTCTTCATCTTCTAACTGTTATGGAAAGCAAAACGTCATGCTCAAAGATAATTTACGTGAGATTTTTAGTTTCACTGCCTAGTTTATTGATCCCAAATATCTTGGGACAGCATCAAATGATCTCATCAACTAACAAGTTAATTAACCCACGTAAAAGTAATTAGTTGGTTCTGAAGCTACTTATGTTAGTGTTGATTATTTCCTGTCATATTTAGGTATGCTTCGACAGGTAAGCTTACCACAAAATCAGATGTATACAGCTATGGAGTTATTCTTCTACAGCTCTTAACTGGCCGTATACCGATCGATACCAAGCGGCCCTCTGGTGAACATGTTCTTGTCTCCTGGGTTAGTATACCAATCCATTTCTCTACTGTCAAAAATGTAATAGCTAGCATACGCTATTAATCCATACCGAAACTATGAAAGCTAATTAGTAAGGACTTTCGAAGGTTGTTAACTACAAATCCTTGAGTTTCTTGCAGGCTCTTCCAAGGCTAACCAACAGAGAAAAGGTAGTGGAAATGGTTGATCCAGCAATGCAAGGGCAGTATTCAAAGAAGGATTTGATTCAGGTTACCTTTCAGTTCTATTCCTTTCAGAATATTGATGTATCCCTACAGCTAAAATTTCCAACTAAATTAGTGCACTCTGTTGCTTCTTCACAGGTAGCTGCCATTGCAGCTGTGTGTGTGCAACCAGAAGCAGATTACAGGCCTCTCATGACAGATGTTGTTCAGTCACTAATCCCTCTGGTCAAGAACCTCTCTTCTGTATCTTCCTCTGGTTCCTCTAGATTTATGAATCAGACAAGTCCAAGGCCTATGTAGATTTTGCTGTAATAAAAGACTAATAAAAGCATTCTTACCACTTGTATCAAAGCTTTGAGTTTGGAAATTGATACTTTGTTAGGCATTTAAAGTCACCAATAGGCATGTAGTACGGTGGCGATAATCTTGCTGAGCAGTTGAGAGCAAGTTTCAAGTTCAGAAAAATTTCTCTTACATTTGAATTATAATGTCATAAACATATCCATCATTAATTCTCTATGAAGTGAAAATAAACTACATTTCTTGATAATAATACCCAATAATTAATACGATGTGACACAGCAACTACTCAAGTTCTTCAACTGAGGCTATTTATTAAAAAAGATAAGATCAAGGTCTTAAACACTGTCAAAAAGGTAATATATCATACCAAATATAATGAATAATGGAGTGTTCAGAAGTTGACCTTCTGCATTTGGTTAAACCATGTGCCAGTGGAGGCCCCTCTGGACCCAACTTTCTGGATCAAACTAGTCACAGAAAAGAAGCAACATGTTATTTGGCAGAACTTATCATTATACATCTTTTTGCCTTAAATTCAAAGCAACTAATCTTCGGGTCATTTGTCATATATTGCGAGACAAGATGGTGCATGTTCATATAAATGGGCAATTGAGAATAATTGCTCTGTCGCTAGGTACATAGGCTACAAAAAGGAAAAAAGTTGACAGGACACGAGCTTGTGAAGAAAAAGGGTGGTCCAAAGTGTGGAAAATTACAAGTGAAAATTGTAAAAGAAGCCTACAAAAAGATGATTTCAGATAAAACAAAATTGGGGGAGGCACCAACTCCCATGTGAGTGTCTTAAATGGAAGCCAAAGGGATATTCTTGAAGAGAAGGCTCGAAAGGTCAGAACAAATTGAGCGGCCTAGAAATATGGCAAGTACGTATGCAACTGCACATTACCAATTGTATGATAATGTTAATGTGCATCAACTCATTCATAAAGTTAACAGTAAAGTTCAATGTTACAGTCAGTCCTTTCATTGCCAGGTACATCAATGGAAACAAGTTCTTAAACTGAAGCTTCATGAAAAAAGTAAAACAGATTCAACTTGTGCATAGATTTTATCTCCCACGTCATTGTCCCAGACACAAGCCAAAATGGTACTGTGTTGAGCAGTAGGTCCTTCCATCTAACAGGCAAAAGTCAAGATAGAATGTCTAAGGTTATCCATGCACTAATTATCTTATCCAGATTTTCTTCAACTAATATGGGTAGCAGGTTCGTGCCAAAAAAGTAACTTCGGAAACTACTTCCTACTCTTTTATCCTCTACAATATCAAGTAAAAACCTGCATGCTCTCCGATCTTTAATGCAGATGTGCTTGCAGTCAGTTCCTGTTGAGATGGAAAAGAACTACAAAGCACCTTTAACTTACTCCAATAACCTTTTCAGGACACAAAAAACTGTATCAGGAGGCATTCTCTTGATAAAAACTTGAATACATATACTTGCCAGCTTTTTGCATCCATTTTCTAGCACCATTGAAGGGAAATAGTTACATGACCATTTCATCTGAGGTCATTTTGCAGCTTAAAAAGGGGAGAAAAGATTAGTACGTACAAGTACAGAATCATTCTAATTCTAAGCAATCTACATATATACAGATAAAGTTACCCTTTAACCTCAAGAAAGTCTAATCCCCAGAACCAAATCATCAGGTGGAAGAAAGTAGGGTAAAAATGTTAACCTTCAACAAAACCTGACATGGAGTAGAAAGGAATAAGAAGACTCTTTCTAGTGCTGCTGAAATTCATTTTCTTGAACATCATTCCAATGACACAAACACATCAATATTCCCGTCTTCATGGAAATTGATGCTAGAAATGAGGATTAACTTGCGGCCCCTTCATCAGAGGTTTCCCTAGTTTCAGCTTCTGAGTCCATGCCAGTACTTGTTTCTCCGACCTTCTCTCCTTCTGATTTATCATTCTTATTACCCGATTTCTTAGCATACTTTGCAAACGCAGCAGACAGAGCTGATTTGACAGTTAATTTAGGTTGTTTCTTTCTACGTTTGTTTGCATTTGCTTCTTCTTTCTCCGAGTCTGCAACTTCACTGACTGAGGAAGGTTCGGTGTCTTTCTGGATTGGGGTTTCAGGGACAACAGGCTGGCTTGAAACTACACGCTTGAATGGTTCATGAAAGGTATCATGCAAGCGTTTCACCTGATCCATCAAATATATGGATACACATAAGAGTAACACTTAAAACCATCAAACATTTAATGCTTCACCAAAAGTTGCCAGCCAAAGGCAGTCTTTGTGTACAATTAATTAAAAGATATTAAGGGTGATGAGCATCAAGATAGCATAATATAAGAACCTATGATGTACCTTGCGCTCTCCTATTCCAGGGCAACGAGCTAGATCTTCCATGGATGCATCCATGATATTAGAAAGAGACTGCAAAAGGAGAAAAACCAGTTAAAAGAGGGGTATAGACTAACAAATAAAAAATTAACCACAAACTATCTAGGGCAAAATAGATGGCATACCCCAAATGTAGATCCAAGTGTGACCACATCTGTCTTGTTAACATGTCGAACACTGGTGAGAGAATGGTTTAGCTACATTAAAAGCAAAAATAGATTCATTTTAACCAGTTCAAAGAGTGAATACTACAGGATGAATTTAGCAACTTTGTTCAAATTTCTTTGATTGACAGCTGATAGGAGATCAATAACAGGTTGTTTACCCGTGATGAATAGTCTGTGTCCATTTGGCCCTGAATAAGGTCTGCAGGCTTGTTTTCATACATTTTTATAGTCTCCAAGTAGCGACCACATTCCTCCAAGCTAGAAAAAAACAATACCAAACAAGTTTGTCAAGGACAATCATTTCAAGGCCCTTACTGCAAGAAGACAAGTCCCTGAAGTATTAATACACAAAATTCACTTGCAATATTGGTCCAACTCTATTAAAGAAGTCAGCAAAATCATGCATCAAATGTAAAAGAAATCAAAATAAGCGAGTTGAGAAACACTATTATAAATATTGCACAATCTCATGAGATAGGAAACACAAGGAAGATCAAATGGAAACAAGAATAGCCTCAGACCCAGAAAATGTAAAGAGTCTTTAAATAACCCATTTGCATTGGGATGGGATATGCAGCATACCTCCAAGCACATAATAGTGTACAATCATGAAGCAGAGCTGTTTTCGTGACTTCAAGTAAAGGTTTAACTACATCCTCCTGAAATCGATAAGAACAATGAACATTATTGAATTCTTTATTTGACAAATGCAACAAACTGCTACAGTTTTCTTTCCTTGTGGAAACCAAACTTTGTTTCACATATTAAATCAACAGAGGAATGGCTGCAGAAGGCATGAGAAACTTATTGCGTGAAAAGAGCAGCTTACCACATCAACATGGCATAGAACAACACGAAGCTTGTAGTTCTTTTGAAGCTCTTTTATACGGTAATATAAGTAGTCTGGATGCAGTAAATGATACCGAAGACTGCATCAAATATCAACTTCTCAAAGTTAGTTCGCTGTAGGATTAAACAATGACAAAGACATGCAATTTATTAAAAGTTAACAGAGTTACCAATTTGGTTATGTCTAAGAGCAATGCTGTTGTTGTAATTTATCTCACACTTGAAAATGGAAAATGTGGGATATATATCAAAAGAGTAAATCCAGCAGAAATTTTGTAACAACCCGAAGAATCAAAACAATTGTGAAGTTTTGAAGCTTTACCTTTAAACCAGCATGGTAGAATGTTACTTTATAGAAGTTAAAATTAGATATTTAAATAGCAATCGAGAACTCAAATTCATATAGGTGCAATGACAAACAGGACAGAAGGAGAGGAAGTTTGAACCTTAGATAAAGAGCACATGAGCTCTGCCCAAGCAAGTAGTCACAAGCAACATCCGCAAAAGCCCACCTTACATTCCTAATATGCTTAAGCAAGGGGTTTCCCTTCTGCAAAATGACAAGGCAAGCTTAAATTCAGGCCAATGTATGGAAGTACAATTCAACAAAATCTAAATCATCACTCACTATGAAATTCAGTAAAGCACGAAACTTGAGACAAAATTCTTCAAACAATAACCAAGAATGAATCAAGGAGCTAAAGCATGAGTTCCAAAGATACAACCCTTTACACGAATTTGATAATTCCCATGCCAAACAAACAATGCAACCAAATTTATAAAACATGTCTTATAACATAAATAAACCTTACCTGTCTATGGCTAACAAGAATTGCATTGCGACTCGGATTACTCTGCACTGAAGGTGACGTGGTTGATGCCAATGGAGAAGATGAAACCTTTTCACTGCTTCCACACAAAAAAAAAAAAAAGGATTTCATCGCAAAAAGTCACTTCAAAATAAAAAAGAACATTCCCAGAACAGAAAAACAAAAGAAACCCATTAATTTAAAGTACCTTGTCGTTGCAGAATTATTAGACCCATGTTCAGATTTTGAAGGTGGAGGTGGAGGTGGAGGAGGAGAGTAGAATTCAGAGTTTTTAATAAAGGAGAAAGCTTGAGAGAAAGTTTGTGATGGTTTAAATATTGAAGATTCTTGTGATTGTGGTTTTATTTGTGAACTTTCAATTACTTCTTGGTATGATGGTATCTGTATTATCACTTTTTTGTTTTGGCTTGTTGGTTTTGTGTTTTGCTCATCTCCTCCCTTCTCTTTCTCCATCTCTGATTACCCTTCGTTTGTTTCTCAGAAAAATTGAACAAGAAAGAGAATTTTACCATGAAATGTTAGACTAGGCCTAGAAAACCGGTCCATTGGGCTCGGACATTAGATTTTCAACCCATGTTTACTGGGCCTGAGAGCCTTGGCTAGTTGATTTAATTTCAAACAGGCGACATGTCGTTGCTTGGTGAGTCAAGAACCCTGGGTTTCCACTTTCTCTTGCTCTGACAGGGTCAAGATGGATCTGCCTCCTTGGGTGGTGGCAGAGATGTTTTCCTCAGTTTTTGCCGATGCAAGACATAATAGAGGTTGCTTGACTAATCACCATGCATGTCTAGACTATCTAGAAAGTAAGTGTTGCATGGCCCATTGCATTCAATAGAACAAAAACAAACATACAAACTAAGATGTCATAAAAAACAAACGATTGAAATGAGGTTTTACTAAGCAATGGTCTTTGTTTCTCTGTGTTTTGTAACGCGGCTTGTAGGAATCAATTAGCAATCCCTTTTGTCTCATGAAGAATAAAATTATGATAAAAAATAATATAAATTATATTTAGTATCAATTATATTTAGTATCTCACTTAGCGAGTTTAATTTTTAATTTAGTTTAAATAATTATTTGATATGAAATCAGAATTTTAATAATCGGCACGAGTTTAGATCTTACTCGCTTTTATTTTTTTTAATTAAATAATTAACCATAAGATAGTGGTGGATTTATATAAATTTCAAGTATAAAAGCTTTCGTTAAATGAGTATACTAGAAAATAATATAAAATTAGTTTTGAAATCTTATTCAACAATTTATATTTTTAGATTGAAATGATTTTTTTTTTTCTTTACAAATTGTTGAGGATTGTGGCTGAAAGCATTGATGGTGCACTTGAGAATTGGCAGTTAGCAAGATGAATCAATTCAAGGTGATTCTTAATTTTTCTTTCTTTGAACAACACAAACACACACGTAAAAGGAAGATTGCGAACAACTTACTTTAATTTGTTAAAGTTAGAAGTGTTCTTTAATTTGTTGTTAAAGAAAACTCTTCTTTTACAATGTCACTAGTAAGATCAATATGGGATGCATTCATTATCCATTCAATTTGGCTACAAGAAAGTGCCAAACTCCATCAAAATTGCTTAAAAGTGAAGATGTATGGCACAATGATTGGTAGATACTTTGAAATTAAAGATAAGCTGTTTAGTTAAAAAAATAAATAAATAAATTCTGATCACCAAACTTTCAGAGTGCCAAGATTAAGTTCAAGAATTAATGCAGCATTCTTAGGTCACAACAACTCAGGTTCATTGCACAAGTATTAGGCAGCACAACAAATCATCCTCTCTTACAAACGGCAAAAGGTTCGCAATTTCCTTGGATTGACCGCTATATAGAGCTTGAAAAGACTGACCTTTTTTTTTTTTTTTGTGGGGTATTAGAAGACTGAACATTTGACTTGGGCAGCATCCAACAAATCTCTGCCCTAGTAGCTGATGGCCGAAGCTCTCGTGGGCTCAGACATTGAATTAACTTTAGTCGTTCTTGATAACAGACAGAGATGCTCAGAATTTGGCTAAGAGACAGTAGTATTGAACAAGGTCATGCATAGTGAGTAGTGAAGACCCTTGGTGAAATAAAAGGAACTGGAAGTTTATGACTTAAGCTCTAAATGCAGGCCACCGAAGATGCTAAAAAGGGGAAGGAAAATCGTGAAGATCTAAAAGGATAGGAATAGTTCCTCTCAAAATCCAAAATTTCCGTAATAAAAGTCGAAAAAAAAAATAGAAAAAAAAATCGTGGCCAACTATCAACTTGCAAGTTCTGGTGCAATGAATTCTATGACTATCCATCCCCCAATACCATTGCCTCGGTTCATGAAAACAATACGAATCATATTCTTTGCACGTTAACTAGAGGCTAGAACTGCATTTACTTGTGGCCACAAAATTGCTGAAAAAGATGCCTGATTCTTTTACTCCTAACCTATGATGCAAAGCATTTCCATAGCTTTAAACAGGTGACGTGATTGAAAAAAAAAATTGATACCAAACTTATGACTTCTTAATATATTTATTTTAATTCATATATTTTTAACAAATTTAATAATTAAGTAATACTAATAATATTGTATAAATGAACTGTAAAGTACAAATGTTGAAATTTCGTTTTTTTTAGTATAGAAATATTATATAATGACCAACAACAATATCATATAATATTATTTGGTTATTCTTCATGTGAAACAATAATAGAACAATAGAACACCGAGACATCAATAATATTAAATAACAATAATAAAATGTTTCGAAACTGTTATATAACTTACCCGTGCTTGTTTGAATCAATGTTTCCATGCTCATTCATTCTCTTGAATCATAGGCCAACAAATTGGACTTAGCTTGCTCAGCCAAACGAGTGCATTATTGTTCTAATGAAATTACAATGAATCTTCCATTTGATTGGGGAAGTGACCATAGCCTAAACTAAATGGTCAAGACATGCAAGCACTATCACTTTAGTTCTTTGACAAATACTCCACAATTTGAACTTGCATTTTGGAAAAAATAAATAAATAAATAAAAAATTAAGCCCTTATCTCAAATTGACTTGACCTCTTCCATTTTGATGATCCTATATTAAATTACATTAGTAATAAAAAAATTAAAAAATACAAAAAAAAACATAAATATAAAGTATAAACATTTTACATAAGTTGACAAAGTCAAAAAAAACATCCTAAAGCTTGGAAAAAAGTGAGCAAACAAGATTGACCTACTACACTGGCGGTCTGCTTGATTCACCGACATCCGGTCCACCTAGTCTAGACGAACCCCCTTTGTTGTCATTGGCCACCACTTTCGGTGACCTGACTGACGATGAAGCTCTCGATAAAAACGACGACGCTCTTGCTAAAAATGATGGGTTCCTAGTAAAAACCCACCGGTCTGACCTCGGTTCTTGGTCCAATTTTTCTAGTCGTTTATAATTTAACACCTTCCTAGAACTCCCTTCACCAACTCCGGTCCTATACCCCTTTCTTGAAATTCCTTGTGTAGGCAACACCACCATGCTCATAGTCCGGTTCAACTTTCGGTTCATCACTTGTTTCCTAACCTCAACGGGCAATCTCAAAGTGAATCGATCGGTGTTCTCTCCTGGTTGAACCAAAGAATGCCCGGTCGAATGTGACCGAGGAAACCTCAGTCGTCTAAACGATCTCGACCCCCGTGTCTGGTTCCTTTTCAAAATCTTCTTTACACTCATAACCTCAGGCTCCGGTACAACCGCTTGCGCTTCCAAATTGGAGTTTCCATTTTCTGGCTCGACACCCACTGCTCCGTTTTGGGCCTCGAGGTCCAATTCGGGGTTGGGGGACTCACTGAGTTGGGGTACCGAGTCAGCGGGTATGGTCAAATCAGCTCTGCAAACAGGACATGTGGTGTGAGACTCCAGCCAAGCATCAATGCAATCAGGATGAAACACGTGGTCACAATTCGGAATTAAACGCAGCGTTTCTTCATCTTCAAATTCGTTTAAACAAACGGCGCATTCCAACGCGCCTTTACCGATCTTCAAACCTTTCACCACCGAGTAGATTAACGTTGGAAACGTCTCGATAACGGCAGCATCAAGCCCTCGTGACGCGGCGGCGCGTCGAGAGAGTCCACCCATACCCAATGGCCGGATACTTCCGTTTGCGTTGGCTTCGTTGCAATGGCGGATGTATATTGAGAAGAAACCCATGAAGAAGAGTGCTGCTATCAAAACAACAATGATAATCGCCATCGACGGAGTCACCCGCGCGTAGTTATACTGTTCCCTGTCGTTCGGATTGTCGGATTGTGAAACGACACCGTAAGGAGTTGCAAACAAGAGGAGAATTAAGAGAGGAAGGATCCTGTGTTTAAACGTGTAAGAATCCATGATGGAAGTCATGGCTGCAGAAATCAAGAAACCTTAAAAGGAATTGTGATTTTCAGACGAAGAGTGATGTAGCTCAGTTGAGTTCAGTTTGGGTGTTGTTGTTTATGGGGTTGAGGGTGGGGGCTAAAGTGCGCCGTGGAGGGCACGGGCTGAAGTACAGAAATGAAGAGAAGAGAAAAGGGAAATGATGGGTTTATAAAAGAGAGAGCGGGGTGGTTTGGATTGGAAAGTGCCGTGTGGAACAAGAGAAGGAAGACATCGAAAGAGTGGGGTCCAGTGATTTGTTTGATCTGCGGTGGTGATGTAAGGACAAATTGGGTCAGATATGGTGAGCCCACGTGGACAAATGGATTTGCTTAGAAGTTTCCAAAGAAAGAAAGAATTACTATTTGCATGTAAAGAAAGATAAAAAGATAAATATTGGATGGGCGTGAAGTCTGGAGTGTGAAGGGAACATAAGTTTGCAGGAGAGTGAAAAACAGTGGGTTAATATCGATTTGGTAGTTTAATTGCAAATTAAAATTACGATTGGATCGAAAAAAAATCAAATTAATATTTTTGTTTTCGTGACTTAATTGTAAAACAAAACACATTTTTAGAAGCTATAGTTTGGAATGAAACGGGAATTACTTGAAATAGTAGTACATGAAATGAAATGAGTAAATTATGAGTTGCTAGTTTCTGAGTAAATTGCATGAATGATGCACAGCCGCACATTTTAGTTCCACCAATAAAGTGGTTGCTTTCATGAATTTGTGCACTACAATATTCATGAGAAAAGATAAGGCTGATCATTCGGTTTGATTTTTTAATAATTTTAATTTAGTTTTTAGTTAAATGAACGTACAAAAATAAAACTTGAAGCTGGATCAAATTATTATTTGATTTTTTATTTAAATTAATTTTTTAAAGTTTTTTTTAATTTAAAAAAATATAATAAAAATATCATCAATCCATTATATATCTATAATAATGTTAAATTATTAATTTTTTGATTTATTTGTATTATTTTAAAACTAAAAAAAAAATCATCTTTCAATTTAAAATGAGACGAAAATTCAAAAAATCAAACCTAACTAAAAATTCTAAAAAATATAGATTTTTTTTTAAACTAAAAACCGAACGGAAATTAATATTTTGGTCCGATTTGCTTCGTTTTTTAAATTTAAACCAAATAGTATTCACTCCTAAAAAATGAATGCTTCCTAACTATTTTTATAATTGATGATATATATAAAATCAATGCAATTCATGGTGTGTTCCAAAACTATAAGAGTGTATAAATTGAAAATTGTTCAGAGTCCTTTATCTTTTTTTCACACGCACACACATATATCAAACTATACAGAATTTGAAAAAACTAAAAAAAAAAAAAATTCAATAAGTATCTTTTCGTAAAAAAATTGGATTGCATTGTACTACAGACAAGGGATGGGTGTTATTGGCCATATCTTGGCTTAAAGATAAGCATCAAATAATATAATGTGATAATACATGAATTGTAATTCAACTTATATTAATATTTTCTGTTTTTTTAAGAGATTCCAAGTTTGAATATCTTCTGAAGTACACAGCACTTCGAAAATCATTATCAGTTATTAATTTATATATATATATATATATATATATATATATATATATATATACTCGTGAGCTATGATTTTTTTTCTTGACAACTATCGTAAGCCATGAACCCATGACCATGACCACCCATTCCGCAATAAAGATTTTGTTAAGATGGAGATGCTTGCAAAGACAAGAAAACAATAAAGAATGGGTGGTGTGTTTCGGCTGCTCCAAATCTTTTTTTCATTTTTTGCATCCATACAAAGCTATCATAACTCCTTTTCTTCTTTTGTTTTTAATGATTTTTTTACTAATATTTTGCCAAGCATTTAAGTTTTAATAATTAAAAATTAGATTGTAGTATCAAAACAAATTAGCTTTATCGAACATAATTTTAGTTGTTTAAACAAATAATTTTGATTTTAAATTTTTATATATATAATTTTTTTGAGTAATTATGTTCTTTTTTATGTGTTCGATCAAACAATGGACGATTAGTTTAAATTTTTAAATCTGATATGTTATGAAAAAAAATGTTGTAGTGGTTGGAAGAATCTAATAGTTTTTTTTTTTTCATTAGATTATTAAGCTCGTAGAGAAAGTATGCAACTTAAAAAATTTCACATTGACCTAAAATCCATTAATGTGATATTCATACGAACATTTTTATTTCATTCACGTTGCCAGCATTTGAATTCCAAGATTACAAGAAGCATACATGTGGCTGCAATTTCAATTAAGATCCCTAGAATATGGTCATCGATTATTAGTTAGCTGAAGCCTTTAAATAACAATAAAAAAAAGAGTCAAAGATATCAAATGTAGTTGAACAAACATTACTTAATGCCCGAAAAGCATTTTACACATAGATGTATTTTTTGTGCAAAATTCAATGTCATGACATCATAGCAGCATCAGAGGGCTGTTAAGAAATAAATCAATCAAGAAACTAAAAAATAAAAATAACTAAAACAATCACATCACACCAAGATCTAAAAATTTACTTGTTTCTATAGTTTAACATATTTTATGATTATATTAATATTTTTTATTAAATTTTCAACATCCAATATATTTTTATATCAAAACTGTCATATTAATTCTACGTAATGATATTAAATGGCATGTTAGATTTTACATTAATTTTAACAACCTAGCAACGACTGTGATATTAAATGGCATGTTAGATTTTACATTAATTTTAACAACCTAACAACGACCGTGAAAGTTTTGGGCAAGAAGACCTACCAAAGCAGCATGTGAAAGGAATACTACCACTAGATGATCTTTCTTTCTTCTGGATCAAGAATGTGATTCTCAAACCAAGAAATATGGGAGTCTAGAAGTCTAGATGTACGTTAGAATGGTCACAAGGAATATGTAGACATCAAGACTTGAATCTATCTATACCCCATAGCATTGAAGGCAAACGATGGCAGCTTCGTAGCCAAAGCCACCATTGTTGGACCACTAAGGTGATTGTTGTCATCCACTCCACCAATTGGATTATTTATTGTCTTGCAGCTTTACAAGCCTTTTTTGGTTTTTTTAACTTTCTTCCAGAAAAGATAAGTGTCTTGTTCTCTTTGGGTTCAATTTACGTCTAAGATCCCAAAACAAAACAAGAGACGAAAGCATCCTATCATTCTAAACTCACATATTTAATTCCTCCACGATCTTTAATTAGGGATTAGTTAGTATGCTTTGCCAAATAATAATAATAATAATAACGTAGCATAATTGGTTGCTTTCGCTTTTCAGCTAGCCAACTGTTTTGTCAAACGCATTCTAAAGTTATTTCGGCATATATTCTCTCGATCTCAAGGTCAAATGTTCCATTTTTATAGATAAGATTGAGCAAATTACTTATTTTTCATTATCTCTGAATAATTTATTTTCTTGATTTTAACTGTTAAGTTAATCTTGGGCCAATTTTTACTTATCGAGATTTTTTTTTCTTGGATGAGGTTTAAAATTGGTTATTTACACAAGTTATGAGATTATTTTTTTTTTGACATCCATGTAATTAGTAAGAAACTTCAATTTAGATCCTAACATATTACTTTGTTCTCAATTCCATTCTAAACTTTTAATTTTATCAATTTTCTTCAATTTTATCAAAATCATAGTAATCTCTCTCTACGTACTCGTTTCTTTTTTGTATGGTTATCCTTCCGTTCAATTTCTTTAAGAAATGTTGATAAATACCCATAACCAGGCTGTACTGACAGAGTGTGTTTATATATATATATATATATATATATTTGGAGCCATCTGGTTGAAAAGTTTGCAATGCTTTATGTATGACAAAAACAAGATGTGTTCTTCTTCACTACTCTAAGCTAAAATAAAACAAACCTACTTCCTTGGAAGCTTCAAAAGTAGATCTACGCCCTCTCTCTTTATCACTTTTTTTCTTTTGTATGGTTATCCTTCCGTTCAATTTCTTTAAGACATGTTGATAAAAGATTCTGGCAAGTGGCATATCGCTTTTGAACGCGTAACGTGCATCCAATGGTCAAGAGTTGAAATAGCTCATTAACGATGTTAAGATTCTCTGGCTAACATGCCATTGTTGAAGAATAAACATTATTGCCTAAAGTACTCATTATTCTTTCTTTTTTCTTTGATGTTTCCTGTAGCATTTAAATAGAGAAATCAAATGTTTGCTAGTTGCTACAGCAAGACAGAAGTTCCCATGGAAAAGCACTTCAACAAGCGTGGTGCTTTTTTTACTAACATTGACTAGTCAACTCTAGCTACCCCATCTACATTAAAAAAAAATGGCATCTTTTTTTATGTGAAATAATATCACAGAATAAAGATTTACTTGATTAGGTAAGTGCATATGCTCCACTTCTGTTCTAAAATTTTTTTATTAAATTTTCTCAATTGGCCGTTATAAATATAAAAAATTATACCTCTATTTATAACGCAGATAATTAGATTTATTAAAAATCTCAACTTGCCTGTATATTTAGTTAAATGCACTTGGCCTATGTTTGTTAACCGACTAGCTAGATTATTGTATTAACCATGTGTAACGCATTAAATTATTGAACATATTTAAATAAGTCTTTACAACTTAATAATACTAAAGAATAATTTTCTTATTTAATTAATGTGACCATACCCGCTTAATTAATTAAGCATATTTAGGGCACCTCAAGCTTTTGTAAAGGAAATAAATAAACAAATTGACAATGAATGTAGTGTGAAATGGATGGACTTATAGATGACGTGTGTTTCAAGCACTCTATGCTAAATAATATCGGGATCATATTTAAGCCACCTCCTAGAAATTTCTAGAGTTTACCAGTAAAGTCACAATTGAAAACTCAACACAAATATTGCATCATGCATGATGTAATAAATTTCTTTTTTTTTTTGTCGGTCAAGTTCTTTCAAGAACTAAAAGTTAGACTTTTGAGAATAAGTGATTGACTTTTGACTTTTTTCTAAAAAAAGATTTTTTTTCCTTGAATTCTAATGTCCACCTTTGTAATTTTCTCAAGCAGTCAAAAAGTAAGTTCGAAGTCGCCAACAACCAGGATTAATTGATAATTGCCATAGTGGAAGAGTGCTAATATTGAAATTTAATTAGACGATGTAAGTTAATTTTTACTCAATCAGTAAAAACTGAAGTTCATTTTTTCGATAATGAAAATGATTGAAGGTCAGTTTAACTGTATCGTTATGGACATTTTGTTGTTTGTATGAAACAAAATCAATTTCTTGCTCAACAACCTTTCTGAATAAAACTCAATTTCTTATGCATCAATCTACATCAGAATTCGAACTGAACCTTTTTTTTTATTTTTTAATGAAAAAATTAAAGTCTTCTTTCAAATTTCAAAATTTAATATAGATTATGCCTCAGCCACGGTATTCTCTTTGGGTATTTGTGGTCCACGATAACCCAGATAACATAAATTTCTATAAATTTATGGTTGTGCAAAAACATCATATGTGAAAACAATTGCATATAGAATACATGAAAACCTATCCTCTTATATTTATTTATTTTTTAAAATAGATTTATATATTTTTATTTAAGTATTATTTGAAGTGTTTCCTCTGTTTTTAAATTTCTGATTGAATTCTATTTATTTATTAAATTTAACTTTTTAAAAAAATTTAAATTTGTCATTCCAACTATGGACAAATTTTTTAACAAAAATGTCATTTAATAATGTAAAAAAAAAAAAAACTTAAAATCATATAACCTACATGTTTTATTTTTGAAAATTTTTTATTTTCACATTTTAATTAGAGATATTTTAGTCAATTTTTTTTTATAGTCTAAAAAATTGATAGAAAAAAACAAATCAAAGATTTAAAAAAAAATAGAAATAGATAAGAAAAATTTAAGTATTATATAAAAACAGATAGATCTATTTATTTATTTACATACAAGAGTAATATGTGGAATGTTCCATGATTAGTTTTTCATTCAAATGATGTTAAAGAGCATGGTCCAAATTAAAGTCTGGTTTTGGAAAAGATTATGACCTTTTGAATCAAACCTGTGCCTTGCAAAAAAGAATCCAAATTCACAAACATTGTGTTCAGACTGAGCTGGTGGTGAGAATGAACAAATTCATTAATAGAGAGACCTAATTAGGACAGTTAAATATTGGTTACAACGGATTGTGATGTTCTCCTAACTCTGCTTATGCAATAATTAGAATGTTTGTGATGCCTTTAACGTGGATCGGGACCGGCTGCAATAAATGCGTAGTTAGCAATCAATACTGTTATTAAGTGTCTTGAAAGTCAATTTAGGTTAGCACCAACTTCGGGAAGATAAAAAGAACTTTGTGCACGCGAAGAGAGGTTTGACACAATAATTTATTAAAGACCTGTAGAGAGGAGCTTTCGTTTTTTTTTTTTTTTTCCCAAAAAATTCAGCTTTGAGTCTCTGTGTTGGGCTAAATAAATATATAGGTATGCACATACAATCGCTCTAAACTTCGATGAGGTATCACAGAAAAATGGTCCATGCAGTCATTCCCAACCGAAATAATTAATTTAATATACTCAGCTAATCACTGACAGACGGTAAATGCAATTTCTTGACACATTGTTGATTCTTCGACTCCGGCGAAAATATAAAGAGTGAAAAGAAGCCACGTAATAGAATCTGAAGTCCAGTGGACCCTGAAATGCCAAGATGTTTTGTTTTAGCTTGACCCAGCTCCGTAATCTCTGGGTCCAATCTCTGCGTCTTGGCTTAAATAAGTTTGAAGTGGGATTGGTGAATTTTGCCTGATAAAAAAGAGAGAAGCAAATTCTCAGCTTGCCAGCTAACTGTTTGATGCAATGCCACAGTGTGTGTTAATTCATGTCCTAGTACATATATATTGTTGTGTTCTTGCTATGTTTTTCTTAACTTGATTACTTGGATTCAAGAATGTCGGCATAAGTGTAATTTTAAAACGTGAAAATATGAATTTGGAAGTCTTCTCACAAGCTCTTTTGGGTTTAGCCGCAACAAAAATAAGTATACTGATTGCTCAATCAAAGGAGGTTAATTAAAATTCTCAGGCTGCATGAACATGATTTGCTTGAAATAAGGTGTACATTAGTTTTGAACTTGATCCTGGGAGGCACACAAGGTTTATCTACTGTTTTTGATTGATGTTTATGGAAAGATGGGTTTATCCACAAACCCTTTTGTTGAGTTTACTTCCAGTGCTGTTATATCTGCTTGTGGGAGGTAGGGCTTGTTGGATGAAGCAAAAGAGTCCTTTGTTCGATTAAAGTCTCAAGGGAGTTACAGTCTGACAATCTCCAATGGCTTTATGATCTTTCTTCTCTAACACACCTAGATTTGAGTTATGTAGACCTCAACAATGCCTCTGACTGGCAGCTAATTTTCTTTCAGGCTCTATCCTTGATGGTGTTCAAAATATGACCTATCTTAGAGGCATTGATCTGTCATTAAACCATTTCAATTCTTATAGCTGAAATCTTCTTTTTATTGTGAGATCTTTTTGTGTTTCTTTCCAAACTACACATGAAGATCAAATGTTGTTTTAAAGCATGCAAAATTTTGCTAACCATGGTCTAATTTCATCTGCATTTGTTGCTTCTTAGGATGGCTTGCAGCGAGACATCTTTCTAAAATTGGTTTGGAAGCTGGAAGGAGCACTGTGAGAAAGTTAAGCATGCCCTGATCTGTAAGTAATTTCTAAAATTTGAAGCACCCTTTAAAGCTATTATTGATTTGTTGAATTGAAATGATGGTTACATCAGGAATTACAATTGAAGACAATTCATGAAAGAAATTGAAAGAGAGCTGGGAAAAAACAAGAAAAAGAAAAGGAATAGGAGGTGATCTGTCTATACGCCAAAAGAGAAATTAATAAATAAATTAAAAACTAAATCAGAAGAGAAATAGCAATGAAGTGATGAATTACTATCCAAAAATTGGGGGATGTTTTGAAATGATAATCTCCTTCAACTTAATCTATTATAGATTATAGGAAGTAAGACACAATATTAATGTCAAAGAGATAGTTGCAATATTCTTGCACCTTATTGCATTTAAGGAGAAAATCGAGAAATATCATTCTGATTCTTATTTGTTTGTACCAGACACATTAATTGTTATTCTACTGTTTTATTCTAATTCTCAACAGTAAGATACCGAACACAACAAGTTGGATTTCGATTGTTATTTTGATTTCCTGATTAAAGTTCAGAAAGTTGAATAAAAAACCTTAGCAATTTCTTGGGGGCGTTATTATATGTTTCTAAAATCTCCTCCTTTCTTTTGCCTGTTTTGAAGGAATAAATCGTATTGCTGCTATGGTGATTAACCGTACCAGCAAATTCACTAATCTCTCCTGCTGCTGGAATTAAGAAGCTTGTCCATCCAACAAATGCTGCATAATCCCCCAAACTTGCTTGATTCACCCATTTCTTTTCTGAAAAATCAAACCTCCAGATTAGGAACACACCATTTTCTGCATTCATCACCAGCCTTAGGAGCAAGACCATGATCAAATAATTCCCATCTAAATCCGTGGCCCCATTCGATGGCCGGACGCAAGTCTTGTGTAGACATGACCATTGCTGGTTAGCAACCTTAAAGGCTCCGAGAGTTCCCCAGCCCAAGAGACAATAAAGTATTCCATCAAAATAGATGGCATCCTTGATTTCACCATAAACACCGGTAATTTTAGTTGTTTTTCAGTTTGGATCTCCTCTGTGATATGTACTGATCATCGTTGTATCATCAAAAGGGCTTGAAGACAAGGGAAAAAACACACAGCCTGGACAACTTGGATTCCAGGAAAAAGCTGCTTTTCTGAGACTGAAACCAAAGTATTCGTATTCTTCTTCAACTGGGAATTGGAAACCACCAAGATCCAATTCAGGTAGCCTAAAAGTCTCATTGGTAAAAGAAGAGAATGCAAAAAAAGAATGCAGTAATGTTGGGCAATTCACCTTTTCTTTTACAAAAAAGCACCCAACCGTATCTAGAATACAGAGCTTCTGCACCTGTAAAATTCCTCCACTCTTCTCCATTGAATCCGTCCATAACCTTAACTGTGTAAGTTTCTAGATGGGACGGCACAAAGAGCTTGCACACACTCTTATTACATCCTTTATCAGACAGCCTCCAATCGTAAAGTATTTGCCATGGTAACTTGTCTGCTGGTCTGATACCTTTAATTAGCTGCTTCCAAGTCTTGCAAAGAGGAGCACATCGAATTTGATCCAGCAAACAAATTTTTGAAAATATTGTTATTAGTAAATCATCAGGGAGATCAGACCACGGTGACCTTTCCAATTTTTGCTGCTTCTGGATGGAACCTGGCCTGCAGTTTACCCTTACAGCCATTGTCTTCCTCTTCTTATCGTTTCCTGTCCAAGTAAAATCCATTACCTCAAGAGTTTTTGTTGCTAAAGGGCTAAAGGAAAGAACTGCTGCTTACACCACAAAAATTTAGAACCTGTCTTCTCTTAACAAGCATGAGAACACCCAGTTTATCACTTGTTTCTCTAATTTATGGGATGTTAAGGATTACAGAAATCTTAGTTATATAGTTATCATATTAAACTTAATCCCTTTTTGAGATGGATTCTTCTAAATAGATTTACGTAAAACTCTTGCAGAATTCAATCGCAAATGATGCTGTAATCGGTTGCTTAATTATCAGATAAGGTCTCGTATAATGACAATATAGAAGCACAATCCTTTTATAAGACTGAAATCATTGCAAATGAGATTTAGCATGCTCAAGGTCAGCTTTCGTGAATGTTTATTTAAAATTAGGCTAATTAGTTATAAAATATCATGAAGTATTGACCAACACAACAAAGGGTTTTTTTTTAAAAAAAATTTGGATCTCCAAACTTTTTTTTTCTACAATTAAATTATTTCATCTTGTTGATCAATATCATATCACATTGAATGTATATGATAAATATGTTAAGTCATGAAACACCGATACATGTCTTACATTTACGCATTTTAGAATATGTATTGTTGTTTTAATAGTTTAACATGTTTTTCATATCGCTTAAAATTAATCAATGAAATGAAAGAATTTAATTATAGACTAAAAAAGATCAGGGACCTAAACCATAAAAAAAAAAAAAAAGATTATAAACTTTTTTTTTCTTTTGACCAATAGTTAATGGTAATTTAGAATCAATTAGCCTTAAAACTATAGTTGATTACTCTGAGATGCGATCATATATGCTGACGGTGATCAAGCATAACAAAATTTTCATTTCAATGCAAGATCCTTAATAAGAGACAGCATTTCAATTCAAGATCCGACAGCCGGTTTGAAGTCTTGTGGATTTCTTCAAATAACCGAGTACAGTGCAACAGGTTGCATGAAAACTTATGGATTTCATTAACTGTGGCCCAAAGGCTGTATTAGGCTGACTTTGATCCATCTATCCTTGTCCAGTTTTGCTATTCACTTTAAAAAATGGGATCTCAATGAGATCCCCAAACTCTGACTAGCTAAGTTTCTTGGTCCGAAATTCTATTTTAGCTGGACCATACCCATTAGTCCTTGAATAATGGGATTGAAATATGTTGTGATTGTTCTAACCTTTGTAAACAGGCCTGAACCATTGATGGGTGGGTTACGTAACGTGGATCTGATTTGTTTACCATCCAAAATACTTGCACCTTATTGACTGGATGAAGAATCATGCGATAGAGAAAAATAAAATGCAACCTAATAATTTGACCTGATTTTTGTTCTTCATCGCTAAAGTTTCTGTTTGTATAAAGTTTTTCCATAGAAAGCAAAGACTGCAGATTCCTATAGTAAAAACCTGTGAGATGACCCAAGTCATATAACCCTAAATGTTCTCTCTCTAGAGACATGCATCCATCCTAAAATCAATTATAGTACTCTATGATTTAATTTTGTTTTTAAAAACAGGTGTGTGTGTATATATATATATATATTTTCAGTAAAAAATAATTTGCATAGAAACGATGACTTTGTAGATTGACTGTAGTGCCATTTTTTTCCCCTTATTTTTAGGTATTTTACTTGTTTTCTTAATCTAATATATATATATATTAGATTAAGAAAACAAGTAAAATACCTAAAAATAAGGGAAAAAAATGGCACTACAGTCAATCTACAAAGTCATCGTTTCTATGCAAATTATTTTTTACTGAAAAATCGGCCATTTCATTCTATTCTCGAAAAATATGGTTAAAGTAAACAGAGCCCAAAAAATTATATAAATCCTAAAATTAAATGTTACGATCTATGATTTAATTTAGTTTTTTAAAATGATCAATAAACGACTAAAAAGACTAAGTAAAAGACTGAGGCAGTCCATATTCCAGCATTGTAAATATATTCCTTGCCATTAAACCAAATAGCATCAATCACTAGCAACTTCAAATTTAATCCCTGAACGGATTTCATCAAAATATATAGTCAAAACAGTTTGAGAATTGTCTAGAACATAATGCATATGTTTTGTAGAAACAAAAGAAACTAATGCTTGACAAGCTACAAGAAAACAAAAGCCAAAAACATTCAAACCACAATTTTTTAGTTTTTTCAGATTTGACCTTTTTAAATAAGTATTATTTTAATATTCGAATTTTATATATTGACAGAAAATTCGTTTATATAGAACATTTTGTTTACTATTGGCCAACAAATTTGTTGGTTCAAACCACAATTTTTAAGCTCATGTATGACATAGGCATAATCAATATCTTTTTTCATGAACACCCACAACACTCCTCTTCGGCCAATCAATATCCTTACTAGTTTTGGTATACTTGCCTAGGACCTTGGTGGGTTGTCAAACAACTTCAGCATAGGATCTTTCATCACGAGTTATCAAAGTAACCATGCGAGGTCGTTCGTCTTTTCTCTCATCAGCTTGCTAGCTTAGGCGTTGGATTAGGACCCAAACTTTTGTTCTTGCCAAATCCTGCCACATTAACCAGCAGCTTGTAGCTATCAAATCACATATCATTCATGATTGATAATAACAGTTGGATGGGCAAATTTGACGCCAAATCAAGAAAAGAAAAACGCTTTCTCAACTTAGTTTTCTTCTTTGCAACGAATAAGCTCTTCACCTTGCCGTGGCCGGAAAACTTTTCTTTTAGGAATTCAAAGTTCATCCAATATGGGAACCTTATAAAATATAGTTGGTAGACGTTTGTTTGTTTTGAAGTGGTTGATGGAGAAGCAAAACAAGATACAGATCGATGTTGGGGTAGGGTTAGGGTTTTTTGGTGCGCGCGGGAGGAAGGAGAGGGTTTTGGAGAGTATGTTTTTGTAGAGTGGAAAAGAAAAATTTGTTGTTTAAAATGAAAGTATATTTAGGTTGATCATACAATTGACGAAAATATTATTCTTTTAAATCCATAACCATGTAGAAGAGGCTTCACTATGAGATTGAAAGTTTAAAATACTTCTCCTTAAGAAGGTTAATTGATCTTAGGTAAGCAGCTAGCTTATAATTAAAGAAAAGAAAACAATAATGAAGCTCAAATCTAAAATTACATTAACCTTCCTAATTCATTTTTGTTGGAGGAGATCTTGCATTGAGGAATCATTCAGACCCATACACGAGAAAGCTTACACACAAAAATCCACACTATTTTAATCCAAAAATTTAGAGTAATAGGTTATGAATTCATTTTATATATAAGTACTTAAAACTTTTTATTTTTTTAATATAAAATAGTTACTACTCATACGTAAATTCAATAATTTGACAGGCTATGCGTTTTTGCTGAATCGATTTTAGGTGCCACTTTACCCTGGCAATGGCATTGACTAGCATCTACAAAGTAGCATTAGCATTTTTAATGCACAAGTACTCATACTAGTAGCTAGACACATATGTATGGTAGCTGAAAGGCAACAAATAAACTTTACAGCTATAGCTTTTCGCATTTGATTACAATAACACAAAAATTACTGCAGGAGCTTCTTTCCCTTGATTTAAAAACAACAAATCAAAAACAACATGATTAGTTCTTATCTTCTAGGAGTTTCTTTCCGTGAAAGAGAAATATGACCTAATTTTGGATTCAAATTTTCTTTATATGTGCCAAGCTAGGTAGGACAGGTTATGTTAACGTATTGCAAATGACATAAGCAACAATTATTTATAATTATTGGGAATAACGTGCATACATATATAGGCACTAGTCTCCATCTAAAATCTCGTAACAAAATTTTTTGATCAGAAGTTTCTCATTGTATGACGTGCACAAAGACCATGCACGAGCGCTTTGTAGTATGAAATATTGTGACTGAAAAAGAATTATTCTCTCTTTGTAATGTCAACGTCGCCATTAGTTAACAGGCTGGATGAGGAATATGACATGCAAATTCTCTCTAGGCTTCTCCCTCTCTGTGCCTCTCTCTCTCTCTCTCATATATATATATGTTGTTTGGAAGTTCGTTTAGGTTCAAAGCAACTATCATTACAGATTGTAATCATGATCTATAATTACTGATTGGTAGTGAACATGTTTGTGCATGGCCCTTTAATTCATACTCCCTTTTTGACCCCGGAAAAAGAAATGCACTTAATCTTATATCGTAATTAATACTGTGGCCAAGAATTTCCAACTTCTGCATTTATTACATGTGCTCAAGGCCCATGTACTCTAGTTAGCATCTCTTAGTTCGTTTCAAGGGAGTAGGGGAAATTTTCAGTTCCTTGGAAGTTTCCTCTTTGTGTTTTTTTTTTTGGTTTTTTCTCGAGATATTCTCATTTCATATTAAAAATAAAACTAATCATATTTTAAAAAATAAAAATAAAATTTAATTTTTTTCAACAAATATAATTTTAAAATTCAAACCATACGCATTGATAAAAAATTTGTGCAAAAACTAATTTGCTTACACTTGAACCAATAACTTGGTAAGTATTAATTTGGACAAGCTTTAGCCTTAAGCAAGCTTTAAACAGTTTCATAATTACGTTTTAACTAATTAATTACATCATAAATGACATATGGTGGAGACATTCTCGAACCTGTGGAAAACTTGAATTGGGTAAATTCAAGTAGGGTAAAGCTAACGGGAAAGATCAAGAATAAAAAAGAAAAGAAAAGACTCCTCGTAAAATTTGTATGTCAACATAAAGGAAAACTCTCTTAAAAGTTAAAACATTTGAATTACGACAAAACTAGCAAGGGTGTTAAAAATTTGATACTATTTGAAAAATACATTATTGAAACTAATTAATAGAATTAAATTTTCCTTTGGAAAATTGAGCTGCTTGTAGTGCAACTAAATCAGATTTATTTCAGGATATTCCATACCATTGAATAAAAAAATTCAATCAATTTTCTAAAATTATTTATTTTTAGCAAACATTATCACAATATGCTTTCAATTATAAACCCCATCTCTTCTA